TGTGTAACACTGGGGTACAGCACTGGTGACGACAGAGCTGTCACTGTATAACACTGGGGTACAGCACTGGTGGGGACTGAGCTGTCACTGTGTAACACTGGGGTGCAGTACTAGTGGGGACAGAGCTTTCACCATATAACACTGGGGTACAGTACCGGTGGGGACAGGTCTGTCACTGTGTAACACTGGGGTACAGTACCGGTGGGGACAGGTCTGTCTCTGTATAACACTGGGGTACAGTACCGGTGGGGACAGGTCTGTCTCTGTATAACACTGGGGTACAGTACTAGTGGGGACAGAGCTGTCACCGTATAACACTGGGGTACAGTACTGGTGGGGTCAGGTCTGTCTCTGTATAACATTGGGGTACAGCACCGGTGGGGACAGAGTTGTCACAATATAACACTGGGGTACAGTGCTGGTGGGGACAGGTCTGTCACTGTGCAACACTGGGGGGAGAGTACTGGTGGGAGCAGATCTGTCACTGTATAATACTGACGGAAAGCATTATGTGAGGGTTGTTCTGTCACTGTATAACATTAAGGTATAGTACTGGTAGAAACAGGTCTGTCACAGTATAACCCTGGGTTACTAGTGTGGATATGACTATCTTGTGTAATCCTGGGGTATAAAACTGGTAGGAACAGGGTATGGGACTGGTCTGGTAACAGCCTGTTTACATTGGGATGTTGTGCTATTTATCAGCTGATGCTGGGAAGCTGGGACTGTCGAGGCTCTGACAAATACTTTCCCTTGCCTGGTCATTACTGAGCATGATGAGGTGTGATGGTAAAACCACCAGAGTTACAAGACAGAGAGAACTTTGTTCCATCAGTCTCATTCGGCTCTCCAACATATTGCAAAGTACTGTATGGCTGACAAGTCATTACTATACTCGACTGACGGTGGTTTTCCAAATGTGGGCAGGGTCAAATGGCACTCAGCCAGATCTCTCTCATACACGGCAATGTGGAAAAGTAGACCTGATTACAGCTATGTAGGTTATGAGATAATTATAGACTCGCCAGGAGCTTTGTCTCATTGTCAAGACTGAGTCTACCAGTGTGAGACAGTGTGAGTCAAAGTCCCATATTTCAGATGAGCTATTCAACTGAGGACGCACAAACACGGAAATCAGGAACATGCCCTTTGAGCCCGGTTCACCCTTATAATCATGGCTGATCCAAGTGCTTTCTCAGTAAATGAATCCATGGCCATTGTTCCAGCTTCTCCTGTCAACAGTGAGCCTTTAAATAACATCACCAAAACAGCTTCTCTGGTTATTATCACATTTGTGAGAGCTCGCTAAGTGCTCATTGCCAGCTACAACAGCAACAACATTTCAAACCTACTGCACTGGGTATAAAGTATTTTGGGAGGTCCTGAGACAGTCAGTGACCTCTCCAGACGCCACCAAATACTCCAGTTCAGTTACAGAGTAAGAGCCATAGAGCTGTGCAGTATGGAAACAGACCCTTTGGTCCAACTTGTCCATGCCGACCAGATATCCCAAGTAAATCTAGTCCCATTTGTCAGCAATTGGTCCATATCCCTCTGAACCCTTCATATTCATATATCCATCCAAATGCCTTTTAAATGTTGTAATTGTACCAGCCTCCACCTCTTCCTGTGGCAGGTCATTCCATACACACACCACCCCATGTGAAAAAGTTGCCCCTTAGATCGCTTTTAAATCTTACCTCTCTCACCTTAAACCTATGCCCCTCTAGTTTTGGACATTGTCTATTCACCCTGTCCATGCCCATTGTGATTTTATAAACCTCTATAAGGTCAACCCTCAGCCTCTGATGCTCCAGGGAAAATAGCGCCAGCCTATTCAGCCTCTCCCTATGGCTCAAACCCTCCGATCCTGGCAACATCCTTGTAAATCTTTTTTGAACTATCTCAAGTTTCACAACATCCTTCCTATAGCAGGGTGACCAGAACTGCACACAGTATTCCAAAAGTGGCCTAACAAATGTCCTGTATAGCTGCAACATAACCTCCCAACTCCTATACTCAATGCACTGACCAAGGCAAGCATATCAAATGCCTTCTTCATAATCCTGTCTACATGTGACTCCACTTTCAAGGAACCTTACCAACCTCCCCAGAACCTTACCATTACGTGTATAAGTCCTGCCCTGGTTTGCCTTTCCAAAAAGCAGCACCTCACATTTATCTAAATTAAACTCCATCTGCCACTCCTTGGCCTATTGGTCCATCTGATCAAGATCCCATTGTATTCTGAGGTACCTTCTTCGCTGTCCACTACACCTCCAATTTTGGTAGTCAACCAGCATGGTGCCTAGGATTACAGCTTGATCCGGAATTGATGGTCATGACAAACGTCCAGTTCATATTTCCTGAAGTGTTACCATAACAACATTCCCTCAGGGCTCGAGAAACAACAAGACGTACAATCCACCAGCTTCACACTTGAATTAAACATCTCAGCAGCGGTTTGGAAACTATCTGGAGCAGCAAAGTCTTCTCTAAAAAGAATTTAATTCTTAGTTTGCCCTTCCCCACCTACATTGTATCGAATGAACTGCATTCAACAGCGATGGCCAATGCTTTCTCAGCACTTTGTTCATTCAGGTGAAGACTGTCAGTGTGTAAACAGAACTCTTCACTTCACATTCACCTACAAATTACATCAAACTCTCCCAAGACAGGGACAGCACAGAGTTAGATACAAAACAAAGCTGCCTGTACTCTTTTGAACTGAAAGTAAAGCTTCCTCAACACTGTCCCCATCAAACACTCCCAGGACAAGTACAGCACGGGGTTTAATAGAAACTCCCTCTCACAATTGTGACAGGGCTGTGGAGAATAATGTAGGAGCAAAGGAGTGGAAAACAATTCAAATTTGCACGTGCAGGGTGGTAAGTTAATTGGAATTCAGCATTTTAACGTTTAAACTGAAACAAGGCAAAGTTGGAAGTTGCTTGAAGTTGGAAGGCAAGCAGCAAAGTATCAATGACAAACAATCCAGAACAGAAACAGTGTTGAGGTGGCGAATGAAAGCTGAAGTTTGTGTTCAACCTAAGGCTTATTTACAGTGATATGGTGCCCCTTATTGAAAGTATGACCGATTCTACACAGATTTTTCACCCAGTCGTTTATCATATTCTGTCGACACCCCTCCTGTCTCCGAGTGAACAGAGTCTTCGTCAAGGTCAGAAGCTCTTCCTGGTTAAATGTGGGAAAACCGAAGCTATCGGGGGAAGGGGGGGAAGGGGGCGGGACGGTGGCTCAGTGGTTAACACTGCTGCCTCACAGCACCAGGGACCCGGGTTCGATTCCACCCTCGGGCGACTGTCTGTGTGGGAGTTTGCACATTCTCCCCGCGTCTGTGTGGGTTTCCTCCAGGTGCTCCGGTTTCCTCCCACAGTCCAAAGATGGGCAGGTTAGGTGGATTGGCCATGCTAAATTGCCTGTAGTGTCCAGGGATGTGTAGATTAGGGGATGGGTGTGGGTGGGATTCTGTGAGGGTCAGTGTGGGTTTGTTGGACCGAAGGGCCTGTTTCCACACTGTCGGGATTCTATGATTCCATCGCCATTAACCACTGCCACACACTCTGTTCACTTGCAGCCAAGTCCATCCCTCATTGTGGCAACAGTCTCAGGAAAAACAAGACAGTTGACAAAATCAGTGCCCAAAAGGAAACCCAGATAAGTTTCTGAGCACAGTTTTCCACCATTCCTGTCACCTAACTCTGAACCACAGTTGGCTGCTATTGCCAACTAGCCATAAGTTGTGACCTTAAGACAAGAGTACTGCTGTGTTCCTCCTATCTGTATGAACTTGAATTCACCTGAAACTCCACTCTACCCTCATTCACGGCAAGTCCTGTTCACTGGGCAACACTGGAACCTGCTTCAGCAACCACTTTCACTTCAAAATTTCATCCTCATATTCAAATCCCTCTGCACCTTCCTGTCGCAACAACTTCCCAGCCTGTCTGTTATAATGGCCTCCGTTCCAACTGCCATATCTTACTGGACGTGAGTGTCACTGGCTAGGCTAGCAATTTTTGCCCAACTCTATACATCTTGAACTGAATGGCTTGCTCAGTAATTTCAGAGGGCAGTTAAGAGTCATCCACATTGCTATTGGTATGGAGTCAGGCACAAATGGCAAATTTCTTTCCCCTGAAGGGCATTTATGAAGCAAATGTGTTTTTACAACAACTAACACTGGTTTCACAGACCTTTTAGAATTCAAATTTCAGCACCAGCAATCAGTCACAAACAGTGGCCCTGTCTTTAGGAAACTGGTTTGAAAACGCTGGATGTGACTAACTCAATTTCACAACCTCTCCTCAATCTAGACAGCAAAATATAGATCTCTGAGCAGTGGTTTCTCCATTTGCTCATTTATATCCTCTGAAAAAGATAAGAATGTTATTACATATAAACATTTCACTGAAGCACATCTATCTCAATTCTGAACTTGACATATGCAGACTTGTCCCCAGCAGTATTGGACCCCACTGTTATACAACGACAGACCTGGCTCCACCAGCACCATACCCCAGTGTCATACAGTGGCAGATCTGTCCCCACCAGCACTGCAGCCCAGAGTTATACAGAGACAGACCTGTCTCCACCAGTACTGTGTCTCAGTATAGTGCAGCGACAGACCTGACCCCACCAGTACTGCGCCCCAATGTTATACATGACAAAGACCTGTTTCCACCAGTACTATGTACCACTGTTATACAGTGTCAGACCTATCTCCACCAGTACTGTACCCCAGTGTAATGCAGTGACAGACCTGTCCCCACCAGTATTGCACCCCCCAAGTTTTCTACACTGACGGACATGTCCCCCACCAGTACTAAACCCTGAAATAATTCCATGAAGGCCAGTATCCTGTCACCAAGTCACCCTTTATTTAAACGTGCATAGTACAAGACACTGACACAGCTAGTTCAGAGCCGGCTCCTCCAGTGAGTCAAACCCTGAAACTCCTGTTCATATCTGTCAGCCAGGACTCCCTGATTGAATCAGATTAACAGCCCCAATCAGGGAACTCAGATTCTATGAGATCCACCTCACTGACCTCATTCCAATCACTACATATCTCAGTGTTGCACAGCAACAGCTCTGTCCCCACTTGTACTGTACCCATGTTACACAGTGACAGACCTGTCCCCCACCAGTATTGTACTCCACTGTTATACAGTCCTTGACATATAAAACTTTGATACAAATGGGAAGAAACTGGGATCCAGTCCTTGATCCTTGCAGTAGCTGACTAGTAACAACCTACCAACCTGAGAATGACCTATTTAATCCTACTGTCTGTGATCTGCAGTGCATGGTAGTATATTTCCTCCAATCCCACACAATTTAATTCTGTTTTCTAGCCTCCTGTGAGGCACTTGGTCAGCAGATTTCTGGAAATCTCAGTACAGAATAACACCCACTAGTTCGCCCTGAGTGACTCTACTCAGAACATCCTCAAAAAACCCTCTCCATCCAGTTTGTCAAATAATGTTTCCCTTTCATAAATCCATGTTGACCCTGTCCAATCAGGCAATGATTTTTTTACTGTCCAGTAACCACAGTTTATAATCAATTTTCCCAAAGACTGACAGCAGGCTAACAGCACAGTAATTCCCTGTTTTCTCTGTCTCTCTCTCCTTTCTTCAGAAACCTTCCAATCTCAGGCACCATCAAATAAATGAATTTTGAAAGATGGTCACCTTTGTATCTACCATCTCTATAGCCGAATATTTCAGCACTAGAGAGTGAAGGGTATCAGATCCCAGGGATTTATCCACTTTCAGACCCATTTATTTCTCCAATTCCACTTTTACACTGATCCTAATTTCTTTCAGCTCCACACTCTCACTAGACTCTTGGATCTTCATTATTTCAGAAAGACTGCTTGTGTTATCCTCTTTGAAGACAGACTGTTTAGCTTCTCTATTTCCAATTATACTTTCTCACATTTCTGCTTTTCACGGGTTGACATTGGTCTTTGCTTATCTTTTTCTCATTTAATGCTTGGGGACATGAGCTCAAATTGCAATGTGGTAGCTGGTGGGATTTAAATCCATTTGTCAATTAGAAACTGAAAGCAATCTGAATCATGGTGAGCACGAAGATAACAAGTATTGTTAAAACCAATCTAATTCATTTCCTTCTTTTCAGGAAATCTTCCACTCTTACCCAGTTGGGCCTATATGACTCCAGAACAACAGCGATGCAGTTAATTTTTAACTGCCTTCTGAAGTGGTCTAGCAAGCCATTCTGTTCAAGGACAATGCCAAATGGGCAACAAATTGCCCTCATCGCTGACGTCCACAACCTATAAAAGGCTAAATAAAAACTCTGTCAACAGCACACTGGGCAGATCTGTCTTGAATTTGTGTTCAGGATTCTGAAGAGGCTATTGAATCCTCAACTTTTGGACTTAGCATGTCAGTTACAATTGGAGTTGGGCAAAGACAGCCCATGCATCTACTACAATCACACGACACTGAAGAGAGCCAGCAGCCAGCTTCACAGAGAGGTGTTGTCAGAAACTACAAAGCTAGGAGCGAGCCATGAGATTAGTACAGGCAAAAGAATGACTGCAAACAATAACCTTTAGTAACTTTCAAGAAATCATAAACCGTATCATACATCGGCCAGGGCTGGAATGAAAACAAAATCCAAATTCAGCAACATGCTGGGCAGTCAACAGTGCAACTTAGATTGAGAGTAAAGCTCCCTCGACACAGCCACATCAACAACGTGAGATTAGGTACGGAGTAAAGGTCTCTTTTCACTGTTCCCATCAAACACTCCCAGGACAACAACATTTAAAAGGCATCTAATGGGTATGAATAGAAAGAGTTTAGAGGAATATGGGTCAAATGCTGGCAGTTGGGACTAGATCAGTTTGATATCTGGTCAGCACGGATGAACTGGACTGAAGGGTCCCTTTTCTTGTTTTATAACTCTATGACAGGTACAGCACAGGGTTAGATACAGAGTAAAGCTCTCTCTACACTGTGTCTGCGTCCTCTTCCGGTCTGTGACCTTCCATCTCTGTCAATCACTTCAACACGCCTGATTCCAGTCTCCCACGCTCTTATCCTCCCCCTTTCCCCCTGAACCGAGTCCCTCATTGGTCTCTCTCTCTCTCGGTACCGATATCTCACTTACTCCCTCCGATCCCATTTTCTCCCGATTCCCCTCTGTGCCCGATCCGAGTCTACGTGATCCCTCTCTTTCCAATCCCCGTCTCTCTCTGATCCCGGTCTCTGAGAATCCTTCTCTCTCTGATCCCACTCTCTTTTACTGACGCGTGTCTCTGCTCGCCCGGAGCCGGCGCAAATAGCGCTCCACATGGAGGCCTTACTAAGGACAGCGGCGTTTCTCTATTTCTGACATCTCAGGCTCGGATCTGATGGCAGGGGGTTTTAAGAGAGGGTGTCTAACTCTGTCCACAGAGAAGGTCTGACCTTACTGCGATCCTTCTCCGGGACGGGTTACCTCTGTGCTCCAGGATTCCGCTCTCCCGCCGACAATGTGTCACTTTCAGGCAACGTCGCGCATAATAGACGAATGACAGGCCTGCCCCAGGGACCCGCCCCGTTAAAGGGTCCGCACCCCGGGAAGCTCACACAAACCCCACACCTCCAGACACCCATCCCTAGCCATAATTGGAACTTCAATGTCCCCGACTCTTATCGTAAGCTAAAGGAAGGCTATTATTCAAACGGCGTTCAGAATCCAGAAAAGCACACAGAGGGAACAAAAAGAAATTGCTGGAAAATCTCAGCAGGTCTGGTAGTATCAGTGTTGAGACAGAGGCACGTGGGTGTTCTTCTGCAATGAAACACAAAAGTGTTAGCAGGCAGATGGAGCAAACTGGCCCGCCATTGCTCAGGGGTTGGAGTTTAAAAAACAGGGAACTGCTGATACAACTATACAGGAGGTTGGTGAGGCTACCCCTAGAATACCGTGTACAATTTTAGCAACCATATTTCGAAAAGGATGTACTGGCATTAGAGGCTGTTTAAAAAGGACTGATTCATTTTTTTTAAAAAAAGAAAGCTCAATAGGTTCAGCCTTTAGTTATTAGGGTTTAAAGATGCTTCCATTCATGGGGGAATGTCAAACTGGGGCACATGGTGACAGAAGTGGGAGGGTGGGGATTATTTAAAACTGAGCACATCTGGAAATCTTTGCCTAAAAGAGTTATGGAGACTCCATCTCTGGAAGTATTTAAATGAGGTTGAAAGTAGAGGGTGCTGGTGAGACCACATCTAGAGTACTGAGACCAGTATTGGTCCCCTTATTTACAATATGATTGCATTGGAGACATTTGACAGAAGGTTCACTTGGATGATCCCTGGTATGGAGGAATTATCTTACAAACCAAAATTAAACAGGTATGGATTCTAATCACTGGAGTTCAGAAAAATGAGATGATCTCATTGAAACAGGGGATTCTTAAAGGATTTGACAGGGTAAATGCTGACAGCATGTTGCCACACATGGGAGAGTCTAGAACCAAAGGGCATAGTTTCAGAATCTTCAATGCTTGAAAGACAAGAAATCCAAACTTTCCACTATCATATATTCTGGAGTGTCTCATCTCTGATATCATTCCAGTAATTTTCGATGCACCTTCTCCAAGAACTTTGACACCCTTACCAGCAACTTATACAACTGTTTATAACTTCACTGCTTTGATATGCTATACTTCTCTGTATAAAACCAATTTAGGAGCTATGTAAACTGTTCATGTTCTGTTCACCATTGCTTTGTGAATACTACTTCCATATTGGAAATCTTGATTTTAAGCACATTTCTGCTTCTACAAATGGAACAGAAGTAATTTCTTCTAGGCTGACTCTTTACAGGAACCAGACTACTGTATTGAAAAAAGCTCGCTGTTTGCACACACTCAGAACAAATGGATCAATCTCGATTGATACAAGAGGGTAGGAGAATCCACAGTTAAGTACCTGTTCATTTAGCATCACTCTGCCTAAAGACCTGCATTTGGATAGTACCTTGCATTATTACTCAAAATTGCCAAGCCTTCTAAAACCACTGAAGTGCTTTCTAAAATGCAATTGTTAATGTCCTGTAGGCTGTATGCAGCCAGTTGGCACACAGCAAGGTCCTATACCCAGTTCATAATCAGATAATGTGTCATCTGCTGTTTGTTGGAGGACAAACATTGACCAGGACATCATGGAGAATTCCTGCTCTCTCTCAAATTAGTACTGGAAGGGGCAGGCTAGGGCCTCAGTTTAACATCTTTCATCTATAGGTTGGCAGCTCCAACACTGTAGCATTGCCTCAGTGGGAGCCTTGAGTTTTGTCTCAAACAACTTGAATCTACAATCTTCTGATTCAGAGGTGCCACATCTGACAATGGCAAGGGGGGAGAGAGCTTGATGGTTTTTGACTGAAATTCTGGGACAGGCATCTTCCATTCAAGACACATTCCAAGCATTGTGGACAAAGTGATTGTGAATGCTTCAGTGATTGTATAATAGCAGATATCACTCACAATCACTCATAACATAATTTGTTTTCATAAAACTTTCCTGGAATGAAATATCAGAAACACTCAAACAACTGCTAAATTGTCTTAGCTAACTTTTGACTTACCCACTTACAAAGTTTTCAGCATGACTCATCATCACCAATAAATGCAGTGGTCGCTACCAGAAGTTAATTCCTTAAGGACACAACGCCAATTGTCAAGTTATTCCACAGCATCTCAAGCAAACTAACAAACGCAGATTCCAGTGAGTTTTATGTTTGGCCGTTCTTTGTGAGCTGTCTGCACATCATTTCCCATCCCAATGAGACTCGCTGGTTTGCACCTTCTGATTTCAAGACTGGCTCCATCTAACTAGGTGGCAGATGTAAATAGAATTAAATAATGTTAGAGACGCGTGCCTCTCTGAGCAGGTGCTTTTCAAGGGAAAACAGATTTTTAAATCAGACATCACTAGGTGCAATTACAAAGGGAGAAGGAACTTCTATTGCACTGAGTCATTCAGTTAAGTAAAATCAGCCCAAAAACCGTGAAAGGTGGAGACAGGATTCCTAACTACATTTGGAAGGGGGTATAGTGAAGTACTTGAATCAGAACATTTTAAAAGAGGGCACAGTGGGTAGCTGTGTCAGAGAACTGGTTCAGGCACAATGTGTTGATGGCTCCCTTCAGCACTCCAAATGTACTGTAAATACAACCTGGTTCTTCAAATTAAATAGATTCAGTTCCTTTAGAGCATCAAAGAGATGTGTTTGAGTCAGGACCCCTATAATTGGTATTCCTTAATCTGTCAAAACACGACAGAGCTGAAATTAAAACTTTTGAAAGAATCCAAGTGTTGACCAGTTCTCAGGAAGCATGAAATCAGAAGCTTAAAGGTCAAATGCAGTGGCAGTTATTATGTATGCGGAGGCCAAAATGACAAATTTGAAAAGGATTAAAAAAGCTCACAACTAACATCTGATGTTCAAAATCTTGTTTAATTTCAAAAACACAGAAAACATAATGGGTAACTTAAGAACCCAATACTACAAACAAATTTCTACAACACTCCTCACAAAATAACCAAGAGGCCAGGGCCACAGAAAACTGGACACCAAATGAGAGTCAGATTTGGTGGCAATGAGGGAACTGGTAAATGTCACGTGCAGCTGAGTCAGATCAAACTGGAGACAACAAGACCATGAGAAAGACTGGACTCAAAACATTAAGACTTTGAAGTCCAGACACTGCAGTGCAAGGAATCGCTATAGCTTTGGGGCAACAAGGCTGCTGCTGGGTATTGCGGGAGTGGCGACAGGTCACTGAATCCCAAATACACTGGAATTTCTTCACTGGACGAAGGTGAAGCTGAACCATCACAGTGACAACTTATGAATTAAATCTTTGGCACTACTGAAACAACTTTTTCATTAATCCTGCTCCCCCACTTCGTAGCCCAGAGTCAAGCATTGTTCAGTTTCAATGTCCTTTGACAAATTACTCTTTAATTTGCTTCAACTGCCCTCATTGAGGTCATCACAAATCACAGCAGCAAAAAGAAAGTCTCATTTCCTCCTATCTCTTTTTAAAACTGATTTTAAATCTGTCCCCTCAGATATCCAAACTCCTGCCGGTGGGGGTGGGGAGAAACTTACCCCTAGTTTGTCTCACAAAGCCATGCATAATGTTACAAACTTTCAAAGCAAAGCGATGCCAAAATGGTCGCACCCTCGCACACACTCAGTTGAGAAATCCAACAGACAGTGGCTATGAATGGTCTGTAGGAGAGCTTACAAAGTAGTCAGGGTGCAGGACCAAGAGTTCCTACTTTACAGCTTCTTGTCTGACTTAAAATGGAGGATGAAGTAGAGCTCATATTGTTTTCTTCTTTCACAAAGAGTTTGCACTTGGTTGACAAACCAAGATAAGAGACAACCTGTCCTCTTTCAACCAGCGACCCAGTAAAATCTGTCACTTATTTACACAGATGGATGAGGCTGTTGCAATGTTAAGGTGTGGCTCAATAGTTATGTTATCTGACTGTAAATAACAAGTAATAAAAGTTGGTGAAGATAAGGGAGCATGGTCAGTGTCAAAGCAGATTAAATAATGACTTAAAAAAAAATGAGGCCGTAAATATTTCTGAAGGAATCATTTGTGAAAGATCAAATCTAATCACTAACTCTTTCCAAGGGCCAGCAGGATGAACAGCCTTTGTCTGTTGAAATAATTAAGGTGCATACATAAACCTCAAAGGAAAGAAGACTGGATAGTAGTTTTTCGAACAGATGGACTAGCATGGACAAGTCAAACTGTATGTTCTTCAATGTTTACCTAGAAAAAGTGCAAGCTTATTTAAGACATTAGACCAGCAACTCTCAGCAAAAGGATGGAGAGAGATGATGCTGGCTATCAGCACATGAGAGAAACCAGACCTCAGATTTATGGCTGTGCTCAGTGAACTACAACAGATAGTGGGGATTACACCTTTAGAGGATTACTGGGGCTATTTACAATGTTGAGAGGGCATGAGTGAATCAAACATAGGTACTTGCAGCACAACAATAAAACAAAGAGAGGAAAAACAGTTTGGAAATTGGTGGGAAACTAATAGTTTATCAAGATTGAGAAATTGACATTATTAAAATAATGGTACTAGAAAAATTAATAAGATGAATAGCTGTCATATCCCTGGGACCTGATGGGCAATGTCCTCAAGTTGTAAGAGAAGTCTTTAGAGACTGGTTGCATTGGATGCGATCTTCTAAAATGGTGTAGATTCGAGAACAATCTCCTGATTGGAAGGAAGCAAAAAGCACCAAGAACATATTGTATATATATAGACTCTTTAATGTCACGAAAAGTCCCAAACCATTTCAAAGGGACATTAGAAAAGAGGGTTCGACACTGAACAACACAAGATGATAACAGGGCAGATTACTGAAGAATGCTTTAATGAGGGTCTTAAAAAGAAAAGGGAAATAGAAGACAGAGATAGGAAGGCACAGCCACAGTGGAGGGATGAACATTTGGGATGCTCCAGATTTCGAGCGCCACAGGCACCTTGAAGGGTTGTCACGCTAGAGGAGATGCCAAAGATTATCTCACGAAGGTCTGTAAGAACAATGATGAGAAGTTTAAAATTGAGATGCTACTTGACAGAGACTATGTTGGTCACCAAGTCTGGGGGCTGCTTCAAAAGACCTGGTGTAAGTTCGGACATGGGCAGCAGAATAAATGGAATGTGGCTATTCAAGAAACAAGAGTGAAAAAACAGGGTACAATGGGCCAATAAATGTGGCAGCAGTAATCGGCAAAATGCTCCAATCTATTATAAGCATCGTGGCATCTCGGCAATCAGAAAACTATATCCTGGTATTCAATACAGAATTATGAAAGAAAAGTGGTGTTTTAAGAACTCGTGCAATTTGATGCAGTAACCAGTAGTGTAGGCAAGTGGCAATGAATATATTTGCATTTTGAAAATCATTTCATGATGTGCCACATGAAATAGAAATGCCAAATAAGGATTCTGGAATTGAAGGCAATTGTTTAACACTGATTGAGGCCTGACTAATAGACATGAAGTGGTCATTATCAGATTGACAGGTTGTCATTTGTGATACAATGACTTGAGCCTCAGCTATTTCCAATCCAAATCCATAATGGCGAAGAAGAAGCCAAATGTCAGAGTTTGTTAATAGCTTAAATTCTCATCTAACTTTGCACAATGAGGAATTTGTAAAGAAAGAGTGATTAAACACATAGGTAAGAATGGCATGTGGATGAATATAATGTGGAAATGTGTGAAGTTACCCACTTAAGTGGAAAAACAGGAAGTATAATACTTAATCAATGCTTGAAGACGCGAAAAAGTTTGTGCTTAGTGGGACCCTAGTGCTGTTGCACATAAATCTCCAAGTTAACAAACAGATATAGCAAGTAATCAAATCACAGCAAAGGAGGATGACATTCAGCCCAGCAAAAGCAATTCACCTGGTATCAACTCTTTCCCCGTAGCCCTGCAGTTTTCCTCTTCAGTTCTCTTTTGAGAGCCACAATTCATTCTACCTTCTCAGATTCAATGAGGAAAACATTTTGACATCCTTGATTACTAAGAGACTGGAGTGAAGAATTCTAACCGAAAATGTCAAGCTCCACATGAGGTCACAGTTGGAGTAGTGTGCACAGTTTTGGTCTCCTTATCTATTGAAGGATACACTTGTTTTAGATGGTTTGGGACTGAGCTTTACCAGACTGACAATTTGGAACTCAGAGCCTGTCCTACAATGGGATGTTTTGTAGACTCTGATGATGTTTGAGAAGTTAGAAGAATGAGAGGTGATTTAATCGAAACATAATATTTTGAAATGCCTCAATAGGGTAAACACTCATGTGACATATTCCCATGGCTGCAGAGACTAAAATGAGAGCTCAATTGTCAAATAACAGGTCGATGATTTAGAGTTGAAATGAGGAGAATTAACATTGTTCTCAGGATGGTGAGCATTTGGACAATCCTAGCCCAGAGACTTGTGGACACTCAGTCAACGACCAATAGATCTTTGGATACTAAGGGAATAAGGGAATAAACACAATGAGGATTGTGTTGAAGGTGCATCTGGGGATCAGCCACAGACATACTGAATGATTGAAAAGGTTCAAAGAGCTGAATGGACTACTCTTGCTTAAAAACTGTATTAAGGTCACAGAGGGATAAATGGCAAAAAAATCACAATGTTGCATGTCTTGGGAACATGTGAATCTGAGTAGACAGATGTATACAGGAATTTGCAGGAGGGAGCAGTGTGGAGAGATGATGCCCTGACCGTGACATGCTTGGAAAGAACAAGTGAGAATTCCCAAAGCTTTACCACTGGTGTCTACACTGGTGTCAGTGTAGACTATCAGTAATAACTAGTCTAGTATCGCATTATTTGATTGTGAGGATGGAAAAACTCCATTTCAATGGACCTGGCACATTTCACAATTCATATGTTCTTCTGCAGAGCTGACAATGTATGCCAAGACCATGCTGGGAGTAATGATTAGAAATGGGAGTGACACCAAAAACAGAAGAGTAAACATTGAGCTTTTTGAGGAACACATGAAAAGGAGGGACTCAATGATCATGTAAACAAATATGCACATCAAGAGGGTAGGGGGTTCAGGAGAATAGAGTCAAGGGGACCAAGAAGTCATTCTCTTAAACAAAAGCTGTCTGTATTTCTCAGCTTTCAAATACTGGTAACATCTGAAACTCAAACATAAAAATGTTTTCCCAAAAACCTCACTTTATTATGATATGGGTAAAATTAATTGCAATGTCAAGCCAGAGATCAGCAAGTTGCATTCAAGTCGCAGCCTTCACATCATTAAATATGCAAAGCACTTCACGGCATTTATTCAGACAAAGTTTGGCACTGAACTACCTAATGAAGTTTTAGGAGAGGAAGGGGTGGTTTTAGGCAGTATCCAAGGAGCAGAGCAAGTGGTAGAAAAACAAGGACACGGATTGTATACCAGGTTCTACCACAATTATATATCTGGGAAGGCAGGTAAACAGGTGAGTGCATGGCACAGCCCTATGGCCACACTGTGACTTATCACTGTATCAAGTTCATCAGATGCACGAGAATAATTGGAAAAGACCAGATTAGATTTCACACTCTGAACAGGTTGTTGTTTAGTATTACCATGTACAGAATGTCCTTCGACCCACTGCCACAGTCACAGCTCATGAAAAAGATACTATGGAAGAGCAATCTACCCATGTTAATTCCAAGTCCAGTACACAAACATTCAAATTGCCAATTCAGAAAGGTGTCAGTCTATTTAAGTACTTGATTTAATTTGAACCTGGGAACAAATTTATGCTAAGCTACCAGGAATCTGGAGACAGCCAAAAAATGTCTTTTATCTATGATCCAGTGCAAGTGGTTTAACTCCAAGATCTGTGCAAAATATAAAGTTCTCTCTTTCAAAAATATGAAGTGGCCAGGTTTCTCACTGTCATTATTCCACTCCATCCTTCACCAACATGTCATATGGTCACAAATGAGACAATTATGAAGCCTATTGTTTTGAGGATGCCCTTGCAAAATCCTGTGGGACTTAAAGCACTGCTCTCATTTTCCCAAGGAATGGGCCAGCCTAGGGTGGTGGTAGTAGACAAGAAATAGCATTTTGGCTCAACTAGTGAAACTCCTCTCAGTTATTTCACATTTATTTTAAAGAATGCAAATAACATTAGCAAGGTCAGAATTGGTCAGCTCTCTTCGATGTCTTAAGACGGAAGTGAGAAAACTCATTGCTGTGGGTTTGGAGTCACATGTAGACCAGAACAGACAAGGATGACAAATTTCCTTCCGTAAAGGACATCAGTGAACCGGTGATTTTGACTATGCTTCAATAGTTTCACAGTCAGTCTCCTGATTGCAGTTTATTTTTTCATTTCTCGATTGAAACCTGGGTCTGCAAATGTATCTTGAATTTGGACCCCAATTTTTGCACTGTGCCAAGAAATTAAAAGATGCTCTCTTTCGACTTGACAAAATATTCTAAAAAGTAGCTCCTTCTGTGGCATACCAGACAATCTGGAATAGCAGTTTTAAACAGACTTTCACTGCCTATGCGCAAACTTCAGGGCCAAGCCACAAGAAGGCAAGAACAATTGCTTTGTCAGAAGGCAGCAGATCATATTGAACATGCAGATACATACCACAGAGGGAGACTCATCCCAATGGGCAGCTGATGGCTTACTTTGGGAGCATGCCTATGGATTTGTACATCAAGAACTGGTTAAGATAATGGGCAAAAGGAGCCAGAAGGGGAATGTGCAAAGATCTTTTTTTAACAAACATGCTTGTGATCAAGAACGAGCTGCTTAAAGAGGTGATATAAAGTCCAATAGTAACTGCCAAAATCAAATAGATAAACACTTCAAAATCAAACATTCACAGACCCAAGGAACATTGAGAGAGGAGGAATAGCTTGACAATTCCTGTAAGATGGGTCAAAATGACTTTCCGTTGTGCTGCAGGATTCCAGACAATTGCACAAACTCCTTTGCAAAAGTCCTTTCCTATTGCTAAAAGATATGGGAACATAACTATCATCTCTTGGCTGCTCTGGATAGCTTGTTGAGAAGATTAGCACCTCCAACCTGCAGTGGCATCAAACACAATGGTCTGTCCTGCCATCAGACTGAGGTCTGAAAGTAGGCTGTCGTTCCAAGATGGTTTGTGCTACACAATTTCAATGCATTGGAAGTGTTGCCAAGTAGCGTCCGCTGGTCATCAGTTGTCAATTATGTAATCAACAACCAGAGGATTATGTTAGTGAAGCAGAGCCTAGCAACAGTGACAAAAGTTGAATTAATCTAGTGACAGACTGAGTAACTTGGTGCCAGAGACCAGCCAATCGAAAGCACAGTCAATCAGATAACCACCCTCCCTCCTTTAACTAGCTGCAAGGGTCTCCACAGGACAACACTGCAGTGGGTAGGTGGTCCCAAGTGATGAGCAGGAACCTTACCCACACACTGTTCCGATATAAACAGGTCGTTCCAGCTGATCTCATTCTCTCTCTCAATTGAGGCTCCAAAGATTTCATCAATTACATTTTGTTTTATTTGGCCTCTGGCAAGTGTGATGCAAGTGAAAGAGAGTAAGTCCAGAGCAGCTGTGAGGAAAGACTGCTGTGGAATCATCTATGAGTTTTAGACAAGCCCAGCTCGTTTGCCAGCTATGGACTCATCTTAATATAACTCAAACTCTGCATTTAGACAATGATTGCACAGTGTTAAGTGCAGATTCATGTACAGTGTACTGCAACCAGAATCCAGACTCTGGGTTAAACTTGATACAAGTTGGACAGAAGACTTAAAAAGCATAAGTAAACCTTGGCTTCAGAGCAAGTTCGGCATTTCACAAGTTCACTGTGTCACATTGACAGTTGGCCTATTGATATTAAGCTGGAGATGTGCAATTATCTCAAGTATATGGAACTTTCAACAGTCCCAGTTGAGAATGGGCCCATGACATTGAGGATTGGAATCTCACAAGAACTGGACAGACTCACACGAGCTTGTAGTAAGCATCACTGGTTTCTGAACAAAGTCACAACTGCTAAGAATGGGTGCTGCAGACTTGAGGTAACAAAAAGGATTCAAGATTACAGCAGTTTTATTTTGCCTTCAGCCTACAGGATACCAAAATCAGCCTGGCTTGAACATGCAACACATAAATATTCCTTCAAGCATACCTTGCTGCAATCAAAACAAATTCAAATGAAGTATACATTCAAGACAGAATGCATTTCTCCTTAGCTAACCAGAGAGCAATGCTTACTTAATTTGATGGAATAATTCAGTCTTCCAATGTTGTCTGCTCACTGATGAAGTGGTCACAAATAACCAATACCATAATACCATTTCATGTTTGTATGAATTAGCTGGTAGCAACTCATTCTTATTGAATTCAGAAAGGCAACTTCTGTACAGAGTATCATCCACAGAATATAGAAGATTAAGGGGTGATTTAATCACAGGGCTGATTAAGAGAATTGATAGGGCAGATACACAGCAAGTACTTTCTCTGGATTGAGGAGTCCTGTGCAAAGGATATGAACTTAGATTAGAGGTACACTGTCCAAGGGTGCAATCAGCACTTCTTTACACGAAAGGCAATGGAAATCTGGAACTGTCTTCCTCAGAAAAGCAGCAGTTTGGCCAATTGAAGAATTCAGAAATAGATTGATAGAATTTGATTGGGTAAAGGCATTAACAAAAGAAACCAAAAAGGGTAAATGGACTGATAGTTTGATCAGCTGTGACCTAACTAAAGGACTGACTTGGTGTCAGGATCTTGTATTCCAACTCTTGAATTTTCAAAAGATGGCATTGATGTGGGATACATTTGAGCTACTCTCAAGCTTCACTCATCTCATAAATCAACCATCACTGTCTGAAAAGTTAATACTTCAAGGTAAAGAGTTTGTAAAATAGACAAAAGGAATTATTTCTACATAGCACCTACATAGCTGGAAATGCCCTGTACTGTTCAACTGAGCAACTCAGATGTCTGACTGGTGTTTCTTGAGGAATTCAAACCCTTATTTTTGCAGAACTCTGTTTCCTTCACTTATCATGTCTGGATTAAACAAAGTTACCGGTGTTAGAAATTTCAGTCAGCAGTAGGAACAGAGGAACCTGTTCCTGTCACATTATTCAAGAACCCGAGATGCATTAGCAAAATCAGAATCAGGACCAAATATGCAACATAACAGGAGTGTTCACCACATCTTGGCCATAGGTTAAAATCTTGGAACTCCCTACCTAACAGCATTGGAGTATCTACACCACATGGACTGCAGAGATTCAAGAAGGCAGCTCACCAACAGCTTCTCGATGGGCAATACAATCTGGCCTCTTCAATGATGCCCAGGACACAAGATTTGCCTTTCAGGGATATCACAATTCGACATAAATAGTTTTCTAAGAAAATAATTCAAACATTATTTCAAGCAAATGTAAGTACAAGTGTAATGGGATCATTACAAAAAAAAAAAAAATCAGAAAACTCCACTGAAGACTCAACAACAGCTCTAGGAAATGGGAATGAAATTTTGCCATTTTTTGCTGATTTTTTGAATAAGCAGCTCTCGTGCAGCAGCTTCGGAACTGTTCATGTCAGAAGTACAGAAAACCTATTTGGCCCAAATAACCTGTCTCTTTCACATCAATCTGGCTGCAATAAATATCTTCATTAAATTAAAACAGGAATGACTGGTACCTTTAGATTCTCCTTTTCATTAGAATATTGAGACTTTGCTTTATTGTGTGAATACTAACTCACTGGATTCCTTCAGTTGGGCTGGAGGTCAACTTGCACTGGAGTAGGTGTTAATCAGGGTCACAATAATTTCAACTGGATTCAAAGGAGGAAAGAGTAGAATTTTTCTTTTCGTGCATTGACCTGGGTTTTTCTTGTGTTGTCCTTCCAGGGAGATCCATGACTTCCAGAGAGATCCATGACTTCCAGACTGGTGACTGTCTTTACTACGAACTATCAGGGTTGAGAGAGACAGGCTGGGTGGACTACTGTATGCTTGTCCTGCAGGTCACGATTCAGATAAAAACAAACTGCTGAACAGGAATCATCTGCAAAGAGGAAAGCTGTCCTGAAATGTTAAGTCTACTTAAGTCTCTGGAGAGATGTAGGTGCTACCAGACATGCTGGATGCCATAAGCATTTTCTGTTTTTATTGTGGTTAAACAGAATGCTGTTTGCTCCTCATTAGAAGAGTTTCATAGGGCAAAGATGATATCCCATCAGATTACAGTGGTGGCTCACAGTTCTGAGACTGCAGACATTAGAGGAATTGGGCAATCACAATGAACATTTACTCAGAATACGGTAAACTGTTTGGAATCAATTCTTCTATTTCCACTTTCACCTCCTTTGATCCATCTTTCAACCAGAATTTGATTAAAGCTACTCTACTGTGTCTTCAAATTACATATCCTCTCTCAAAACAGAATAACAAGTGCACAATGATACAAGCCACATTATTCAGTGACAAGCCCACACAAGAAATTTCCTGAAATTTCCTCAGGGTGTAGGAGAAATGGGTCATTGCCAGCACTTGTTTTGAATGGTACAAACTAATAAAACAAATTAAATAACACACTGAACAAAATGTACAAATCAAATCAGCTCAAGCCATTTGTAGTTTTGCTCGTTTCAGCAGCTCACTGCATGTTAACGACATGTCATTGAAAAACAAACCAAAAAAATGCTTCAATAAGAGAATTCCTCTGTAGTTGTAATAATTAAAGTCTCAGGGGAAATAAATCTCTGTCCAATTGTGATAAGGGCTCCCATTTTGAGAAGGTCTCCCTGGAAAGCCACTCCCACTTCCAATGCTCCCTCACCCAGCCACTATGCCCAAAGTCTTTCCTCTCTGGGTCTCAAAAGGCATTTCCTGGCAGCTTCATAGGTAGAAGAGTAGTTCGGAGAGAAGGGCAGCTGGCTCCTGGTGCAGAGATTGGCCACAGAGAAATGCCAGTTTGTGGGCATACTTGCAGGGTGCAGGTACACGGATTGTACCTGACCAGTTCCAGTACAAGTGACAGAGTTTGAAGGTGAGCCTGCAAGAAAAATCAAACAGATTCAGTGGATGAAAGTCATAACCCAGGACACATGAGCCAATTAGACAGCATTAAAGACTTGCATTATATAGCACCTTTGACACTCAAGACATTCCAAAGGGCTTTAGAACCAATGAAATACTTTTGAAATGTGTTTAATTTTTATAATGGTGTGGCACCAATTCATGCACAGCAAGCTCCCAACAGATCAGTATGACAACGACCAGGAAATGTTCCTTTTAAATAATGATTTAGGGATAAACGCTGGCCAGACCACTGGGGAAAATTCAGCTAATCTTCTCCAAATGGTAGTAATAACTGAAACTCTGAAGCCAACACAGAAAATGCAGGTGTGGCAACATCTGTGGAGAGAAAACAGAGTTAACATTTCAAGTCCAGTCTGATTTTTCTTCAGAACTGACCAGGAGTCTCACTGGACTCAAATTGTTAAGTCTGTTTCTCGCCATAGATGATCCTTCCAATTCTGTTATATGATATTTTGCATCCAGCAGAGGGGAGAAAGGACCTTGGTTTAATGTCTGACCTGAATACTGGTCTCTCTGATAGTACAGCCTGTCAACCTCAGCCGTATTACAAAGTCTCTGGAATGGGCTTTAAACCCTCAACCATCCACCTTAGAGCTAAGCATTATGGTTGTGTTTGCATAGCAGGTGTACACCACCTCCAGACAAAGGGCCATGCAAATGTAAGCCAAGCCCAATACTTAGGTCAATCTTGCCTCATAGGGTGTCATTCACAGCCCTAGTCACCAGGTCAGTTTTAGCTCCCATGGCAGAGATGACAACAAGGTGATAGAGCCTTCCAGATCTACCACCAGTACCACTCAGAAGGACAAGGGCAGCAGATACATCAGACCACTGCCACCGGCAAGCTGCCCTCCAAGCCACTCACAATCCTGACTTGGCAATATATTGCTACCTCACCACCATCTTCAACGACAACGAGGGATGGGAAACAAATGTTGGTCCAGCCAGAAACACACACATCCCATGAATGAAGACAAAATCAAGTCTCATAATTCCAGTGCACTACCAAGAGAGTACTGCACTGCTAAAGATGCTTCTTTTGAAAGAACAAATCAAAAACACAATTAGTTGAATAGATGGACACAAAATCCTATGGAAGATGAGAGCTGCTCTTGCATTCTAGCCAATAATTATCCCTCAACCTACAACAACGCTGATTATCTGGTCATGGTCAGTGCTGAGAGTCCAAGTTCACTGTCATATAGGAGAACAAAAACGTAGCTTTAAAATTGCCTAATATGGTCAGGTGATTTGGAACATTGAGAATGTGAAAGGCAGTGTACACACCCAAACATACTCCAAACTTGGGGGACAGACTGGCCTTTTCCAGATGAAATGAAACCTAACACATGCCCTCACCATACCTACCCAATGCTGACAACAGAAAGTCTAACAGCATCTATTGGGAAAAATGTTCAAGATAACAAAAAGTGGGTGGGAGTGTAGGTTTAAGTGAAAAATATTGTTGTTTCCTTCTGCAAACTGAATCAAATAGTTACATTTTATGACTGTAGCTATCCCACATGACACACGAAGGAAATCGATGAGCCAACACCACTGAAGGTAAATAGCAATTATGCCGCTGACCCATTGTGATCTCCAGCATTTGTTGTTTTCAGTAATAGTAATTGATTATTTTAAACACCATGAAAGAGTTAGTGTATGAGTTGAAAAGATCAGAGATCTTTTCAGAGAAAAGATCACCATTTTAAAATGCACTGCTCAGTTGCATACACCTTACCTCTGCATGTGGTCAGGGCTGAGCTTCAGACTGTTGTACACACAGATATAGTGTGTTGGGATTCCACAGCCTTGACGAATAGTATGAGCCAACAGGAAGAAGTCAGTCCTTCAAAACAGGGAAACCACAATGAGATCTGAGAGCAACCAAGTTCACATACACCCTGTTAAACACTCTGCAAAGACGATGGGAATGGACATGCAGTGAAGAACAAACATAGCACAACAAGGGTTATAATCAACAGTGTATCCAAACTAAAGGAGGGGAAACTTGTGATTGCTGTTGTCCAATTAGTTCATGAGTTCTCAGCGTGGGTCATAAGAGTACAGCTGAGACAGGAGAAGTGAAGTCTCAAAAAGGACTTTAAGATTTCAGCCTTATTTCCCAGATATACTGACTTAGTCGGTTACAAGGAATGAACTGTTGGATTCACGCCTGACAATTTTATCTTTGCTGGAAATGGACACTGTCAGAACTTGGATCCAGCATGAAATGGAACACAGCAGGTTTCTCCCATGGTACACAGCACAGGAGCACTGCTTTGACACATCAGAGTGCCGTTGATTCAACATCTGCTCCAATAGCAATGCTGTTGTTCAAATATTTCAGTTTCATTTTCTCAAGCTGTGCCTCTCACACCATTCACTGGTTTCGACTAGGTCTGACAGCAGATGGCTTAGCAAGCTAGATAGCTGCTCCCAGGGCAGGGCTGACAAAATCTCCAATCATCCACCAGATGTGAAGACAGTCCTGGGCTAACAGACCTTGAAATATCCAATTGTAAGTTTGGGCAAGAGCCCACTGGTAGGTAGTGTATTGCAGGTAGTATATTGGCATGGATAGAAGATTTGTTAACTAATAGAAGATAGACAGTTAAGATAAGAAGGGTATTTTCAGGACGGCAACCTTTATTTAGTGCCATAAGGGTCAGTGCTGGGGCCACAATTATTTACAACATACATTAATGCCTTTGATAAGGAAAGTGAATATCTACAGCCAGTTGACAAAAACAGATGGGAAGGCAAGTGGTGAGGAGGGCACAAGTGTCTGCAGACAATTTAAGTCAGTGTTCAAAAACTCGACAGGTGGAATAATGTGGGAAAACGTGAAATCATGTTATTTGGCAGGAACAGTAGAGGGGCTGAATATTATTTAAACAGAGAAAGACTGTAGAATGCTGAAATACAGAGGGATTTGGGAGCTCCCGTGCATAAATCACAAAAAAACTAGCATCCAAATTCAGCAGGTAATAGGGAAGGCAAATGAAATGTTGGCCTTTAGTTTTGGGAGTATACAAATAGGGACATTTTGCTTCAGCTATACAAAGCACTAGTCAGGACACAACTAGAACACAGAACAGATAGTAAGAACTGCCAGTGCTGGAGTCAGAGAAAACACAGTGTGGAGCTGGAGGAGCACAGCAGGCTAGGCAGCATCAGAGGAGCAGGAAAGTTGATGTTTTGGATAGGGACCCTTCTTCAGAAATGGGGGAGGGGGAAGGGAGCTCCGAAATAAAAGAGGTGGGGTGGGGCGGGGGAAGGTAGGTGGGATGGTGATAGGTGCGTGCAGGTAGGCAGTGGTGGGGTTGGTCAGTGAGGTGGGAGGAGCGGATAGGTGGGAGAGAAGAGGTACAGGTTGTGTCAGGTCAAGAAGGCGGGGATGAGAGGGAGGATTGGTCATGGGATGAGGCCAGGGGTGGGGAGATTTGGTCATGGGATGAGGCCAGGGGTGGGGAGATTTTGAAATTGGTAAAGTCCACATTGACACCACTGAGTTGTAGGCTCCCAAGGTGGAATATGAGGTGCTGCTCCTCCAGTTTCTGCGTGGTCATTGTGACACTGGAGGAGACCCAGGATGGACACGTCATCCAGGGAGTGCGGAGTTGAAATGGTTTACGAATGGACGATGTTGTCGTTTGTCGCGAACAGAGTGCAGGTGCTCTACAAAGTGGTCTCCGATGATCTCACCAATGTAGAGGAGACCACATCGGGAGCAGCAGATACAATAGACCACACTGACAGAAGTGCAAGTGAAACTCTCTCTGATGTGAAAGGTTTGTTTGGTGCCTTGGATGGAGGTGGGGGGGTGGGGAGTGTAGGGGCAGGTGTAGCACTTCCTGTGGTTGCAGATTGCGGTGCCGGGCATGGTGGGGCTAGTGGGGAGTGTGCAACGGTCAAGGGAGTCGCAGAGGGAGCAGTCCCTATGGAAGGCAGATAGGGGTGGAGAGGGAAATATATCTTTGGTTGTGGGGTCGGATTGCAGGTGGCGGAGAACGATACGTTGAATCTGGAGATTAGCTGGACTTTTCCCTGCAACTGCAGGAAGCGCTACACCAGCACCTTTCCCTGCAACCGCAGGAAGCACTACACCTGTCCCTACACTTGCCCCCTCACGTCCATCCAAGGCACCAAACTAACCTTTTACATCAGAGAGGGGTTGACCTGCACATCTGTCAATGTGGTCTATTGCATCCGCGGCTCACGATGTGGCCTCCTCTACATCGGGGAGACCAAGCGGAGGCTCTGAAACTGCTTTGTAGAGCACCTGCACTCTGTTCGGGGCAAACGACAACACCTTCCATTCGCAAACCACTTCAACTCCCCGTCCCACTCCCACTCCCTGGGTGACATGTCCATTTTGGGCCTTCTCCGGTGTCACAATGACGCCACCTGGAAACTGGAGGAGCAGCACCTCATATTCCACCTTGGGAGCCTACAACCCAATGTGGACTTTACCAGTTTCAAAATCTCCCCAGCCCTGTCCTCATCCCATGATCAACCCTCCCTCTCATCCTGCCTCCTTGACCTGACACAACCTGTCCACCTTCTCTCCAACCTATCCGCTCCTCCCACCTCACTGACCAACCCCATCTGCCTACCTGCACTCACCTATCACCATCCCACCTACTGTCCCCAGCCCCACCCCTCCCCACTCTATTTATTTTGGAGCTCCCTTCCTCCTCCTCCATTTCTGAAGAAGGGTCCCGACCTGAAACGTCAACTTTCCTGCTCCTCTGATGCTGCCTAGCCTATTGAGAACACAGAACAGGTTTAGCCCCTTTATCCAGGGAGACAGATGCTGTCACTGGAGGCAGTTCAAACAAGGTTCATTCAGCTGATCCTGGGTATAGAAGGACTGTCTTACGAGGACAGATTGTGTAGGATGGGCTCGTACTTGGAGTTCAGAAGCATGAGAGATATCCTTATTGAAACGTACAAGATTCACAAGGGACTTGACAGGCTACATGCAGAAAAGTTGTTTCCTCTTGTTGGAGGGTGTCGGATCAGAATAAGAGGTCACCTGTACAAGACAGATGAGGAGAAATTTCTTCTCAGTGTTAGTGAACTTGTGATTATTTTTAATTAAAAAAAAAAGAGGGCTGCAGAAGTTGGGTTATTAAGAATATTTAAGCTGACATAAATAGATTTTAATCAGTGAAAGAATCAGGGGTCATGGACAAAAGTCAGGAAAATTCAGTTGAAAATGGTCAAGCCGGATCTCAATGACTCGATGGGCTGAACGGCCTACTTTAACTCGTATGTCTTATAGTCTCACCATTCCCTGCTGGTGACAGTATGGTCCATCACAGTTCCAGGAGGTGGCACCTCAAGCCTGCCCGATGCTGCCTTTGCATACAGGTTGGTGCTGATCCTCTTCTGCACCACAATCACCATCATTTTTGGGTGATAGTCACTGAACACCTCAAAGCACTTTAGGAGCTGAGGAAGCTCATAGTCTGTCACAGTGTTGAGCTGGCCATCAGACACTCCATCGCGGTACACAGCAATTTTCTCAGGGAGACAGTGGTTTATCTGTACACAACAGTTAAGATACACTGACTCAGTGAAAACTTAGCATGAGACGTTCCAACAACTCACTGCTTATATCACCTAGTCAAGGCCACAAGCAGCAATCAAATACAGCCATGCACTTCAAACAAGCTCACACTCTGCCTAATTAACTCCTGGTTGAGCATGAGAGGGAGAAGAAAAAGTAGAAATGGAAACAAAACAAAGGGCAACTGTACACTGGAACTCTAACAACAACATAGAACAGGTGCCACGTCTTCTAATCTTTCCTAAGAGAACGCCTTGCAGCACTGCCAATTCTGAACACAGCAAAGGGAACATTGAACACTAGTATTGTTTCAGGTTGCGGGTCTTTCAGAATGATTTCCTCACTGTCCCATACTCTCTCCTTCTCCTGCCACAGGTGGGAGGGAGGGGAAGGATGGAGGTGGGGGGGGGGGGAGGGGAAAGAGAACGGTGGGAGGTACAGTGGAAGAAAGATGGGGGGGTGGAGAAGGAGTGAGACAGAGAAAAAAAAGAGGGAGAGACAGAGATAGACAGAAGGAAAGAAAGACAGATTTAGTTTTTGACACTAGAATCACTATGTTTACTGACAGAGTTGTCTATTGTCAGAGAAAGTGAAAAGAAATTCAGGTCAGAAGCAAGTTCTGCCTAGGAATCTGGGCAAGGAGTTGATGGTGAAAGAGGATACAAGCTACTGTCAAGTAGTTAATTTTCTTTGTTTTAAGTCTCTAATTAACACCAGCTTGACATCATACCTACTGCATGCAACCTCATCTGTAAAATTTTACCAAACACAGAATTACAGAAATGTGCACATAATGCTGACGTGTGATGCCTTTGCTGACTACCTCATAATATTTCTTCAGGGATGCCACCATACAAATCTTTAATCCATCAATGATTTCCTGATTGGCCATCTGAAATGCAACCTTCGAAAACCACTTGGTCATTGCCCTGGGGAAAGAAACATAGAATTAAACCAAAACACGCTCTCCTTGACCTCAGCTCTCAATTCAATTCCATGCTATTCGTGACGAGTGATTTATTCCGTTGCAATCTCATAACGCAGCATCATAGTTTCCAGTGTTGGGGAGAGGTGGTCTGGAGAAAGCTCCTGTTTTCCTCCTGCTACCTCATGATACAGTCTGGGATACACCCTCAAGCCAACTGCAAATCCAAATGGCCGAACAGGGTTAACAAGTGGGTTGAAGAATATACCATGTACCCGGAGAGAAAGGGAGCAGTGTTCTGGCAAGGAACATGCAGATTGGTGACTTCACCCAGCAACAACATGCAAAGTGGCGCTGAAATCCAACATCAAACTCCAATGTGCTGGTGTAGCCTTTGGAAGCTTGAGGAACACGTGTTCAAAGTTGGAAACCTCAAACCCAGCACCAAGTGCACGATCTATAAAACATCTGTGGTCCCTACCCTCCTATATACATCAGAAATATGCAGCATGTACAGTAGGCACCTCAAATTCCTGGAGAGGATTCACCAGTGCTGCCTTCTCAAAATTCCACAAATCCCATGACAGGATAGGTATACCAACATGACCATCCTCTCCCAGGCCAACATTCCCAGTATCAAGACATCAGTCATGCACAACCAGCTGCGATGGGCAGACCACTTCGTTCCCCAAGCCTGACACAAGACTCCCAACCACCCCACCATAGTGAAAGCAAGCCATTCTTGACCCTGAGGGACTGCTGCAAAGGCACTGTGTCAACGCCTCTGATATCATGAAATGGCAGAGGAGTAGCAGGGCTGTGTTCAGGCTCTTGCCTGGATCTCATCTGCTCCTGCATGTTTTCTCTTTTCTTTTCCTTTGTCTACTCTGCTCCTTTTTTTTCTTTTATTCTTCCTTTTCTTTGGAGCCTATTGCGGCAAGTCAGTTTTTGAAATTGACGTAGCGGTTAGAGCGGGCCGTGCGCGGAATGGCAGCTCCTCCCAGCGATCAGAAGTAGCAGTGGACACATCTCAGCGACTGGAGGCAGTGGTGGCAGCAGGGATGTCCTCCCGGCGTTTGGGGCTGGGGGCAGCAACGTCAATCAGAAGCAGCAGTGGACTTTAAGACAGTGGCACCAGCAAGGCAACAATTCAGAAGAGGGCAGCTGGAGTGGACCTCTTGGTAGGATAGCAGCGGCAGCCTGTTCTGGCAGCATAGCCAGGGACTCCTGGTTGCAGAGATAGAGTGTGGGTTCAGCACCGACATCAGCATCATTGGGCCCACCAGTAAATGGGTGGCACTTAAACAGTGGCAACTCCTATGTTGGTGGGTCCAGCACAGGCAGCGGTGAGGTGGAGGTGGTAGTGGTAGTGGTAGTGGGTGGGTGGTGGTTGGAGAATAGTGGCAGCACAGGCATCGTCGGTGAGTCAGCCCAGGGCTCACTTTTGCATATCTTTTATCTATTTTACTCTTAAACTATTCAAAATGCCACAGGATTGTGGCAATAGTTGAAGCTTTTCACTGTATTTTATTGTATTATTCACTCTAAAATGCAAGTGACAATATACTTAAAAACGTTTCAACTATTGATTAAGAATTGGTATTAGGTGAATGATAGACACTCATTCACCTTAAGTTGATAACACACTCCAGAAACCAGAGCTCATAACACAGGCTGACTCGCCAGTATTGGCAGAATGCTAGTGTTGGAAATACTTCCTTTCTGATGAGACATTGAATGACATTTCAAGCTGCTCTCCCTCAGGTGGAGACTCAAGATACAACGGCAGCATTTCACACAGCAAGGAAGATTTCACAGGTAGCTTTATCAATTCTTATTCCATAACTTTGATTATTGATACATGTTCATCATTGTCATGTTGCTGCTCACGCGACTTTGTCACTGCAGACTGGCAGCCACCTTTTTGAAGTTACAGCTATGGCAACACTTGACAAAATACTCCATTGGCTGTAAACACTTTGGGATGTCTCCAAGTTGTGAAAAGTACAAAAATGCAGGTCTACAATTCTGTTAACAGGAGTATACTGAAACAGTAACTGCCAAAAGCTAGTGAAGAAATGAGGGACTGAAAGTCTGATATGAAGGCTCATTTTAAGGCTCAAACAAAATTCCTGCATTATCCAATGTCTATATGAGATGCAGCAGGATTTTTACACTTGTCAGTTCAGATACTGACTGCTAGCAAGATGCTAATTTCCTGTTCCGGAGATACAACACTATCTTATGACATCCTGCATTACCTGGCCATCCAGGTGTACCACACACCTGGACTGGAGTAATCCAGAAGTCAATGGCACCTTCAGAGGGGCAGTTATTTGCTCAATTGCTCAAACCTGTGAATGAATAAAAACAAATCACCAAGGCTCTGTCAAGGATATGGGCTAAATGCAGGCAAATAGGATTAGTTTAGTTTGGGAAACATGGTCAACGTGGATGAATTGGACTGAAGGTCTGTTTCCATGCTGTATGGTTCCATAAATATATCAGTTTAGAAATTCAGGAACAATACCTTGAGCCAGAGAATGACCAGCAGACAGAACATTCTAAAACGTAAGTCAGTGCAACGATATGTTAAAGGGGAAGATAACCAAGTATGGGGGAAGGAAGGGATAACTGGTTCTGTTACTTGGGTTTGGTCAAGTCAGGTGGAAGGAGTGCACAATTTGGTGACTTAGTCCGTCAGTTTTAATTAGGTCCTGAACAACAGACAAAATTCAAGATGCAGGGAGGTTAAAGGGGATTTTCAGAGCCCAGTCAACTGAACGCCAGGTGGAGCACTCAAAACTACAAAATGTGAAGACGTCAGATTGGAAGAGCAGCGAGACTTTCAAAATTTACACAGTTGTACAGCGTTACAGTGACTAGTGAGGCCATGTTTTACACATGGGACACCTGAACTGTAGATTCATTATAGTGGAATTATCACTGGACTGTTAATCCAGAGACCCAGATGACGTGCTGGGGACCCAGGTTTGAATCCCACCACAGCAGATGGTGGAATTTGAATTCAATAAATAGCTGGAATTAAGGGTCTAATGATGGCCATAAATCCATTGTCGATTGTCGGGAAAAACCCACCTGGTTCACTAATGTCCTTTAGCGAAGGAAACTGCCATCCTTACCTGGTCTGGCCTACATGTGACTCCAGACCCACAGCAATGTGGTTGACTCTTAACTGCCCTCTGGACAATTAGGGATGGGCAATAAATGCTGGTCCTAGCCAGTGATGCCCTCATTCCATGAATGAATAAAGAAAAAAAAAAGACTGCTCAAACATCTCAGCCTCAATGAAAAGATCGCTTTAGTCGTGCTGTTGATGTAAAGTATGGAAGATGTTGGAAGTCAGATAGAAAGTCAAATGGAAATTTTCAACAGGTCACACAGCCATTACAGAGACAGAGAAAAGCTTAAAGCTTGAAACACTAACTATCTGAATGGCAATAGGTTGGGAAAGGGGAAGGTGCAACAAAGCTTTGGTGTCCCTTGTCACCAGTCATTGAAAGTAAGTATCCAGGTGCAGCAAGCAATGGAGGAGGAAATTTGGCCTTCATAGTGAGAGGCTTTGAGTACATGCAGCAAGTCATCCCTGCTCAATTGTTCAGGGTCATGGTGAGACCATTCATAGAGTATTGTGTGCACTTTGGTCTCCTTATCTGAGTATCTTCTAGCTAAAGAGGAAGTGCAATGAAGAGTTACCAGGCTGATTCCTGGGATGGCAGGACTAATGAATGAAAAAAGACTAGAGTGGTGAGGACTATATTCACTGGAGTTTAGAAGAATGAAAGGGGGTTTTATACAAACCTATAAAATTCTAACAGGACTGGTCAGAGCAAGCACCGGAAGCATGCTCCTCGTGACAAGGGAGTCCAGAAACAGGGGGCTCATTCTAAGGATACGGAGAAGGCCATTTAGTACTGAGACGAGGAGCAACGTCTTCACCCAAAGAATGGTAAGCCTGTGGAATACTCTACTACAGAAAGTGCTTGAAGCTGAAACACGGGATGTTTTTGAGAAGGGTTAAATATAGTTCTTTGGGCTAAATGGATCAAAGGGTATGGGGCAAATGCAAGAAGAGGGTAGAGTTGGATGATCAGCCATGATCACATTGAATGGTGAAGCAGGCTCAAATGGGTGAATGGTTAACTGCCTCCTATTTTCTGCGTATTTATGTAATTCTGTTCCACTGCTCACATATGTTGCCTAATCGGAATATTTCCACTTCAGTATTGTTTTTCACGTTGTATCAAATTACCATCTCCTTCAGGCAAACCTGTCGCAACTCCAATGCACATATCTTAAGATTCTGACCTTCCCAGTTTCATTTATCAGAGAAAATGAAAGCACATCCACATGAGAGGGAGAGAGAAAGACGATCATTTTCATTATTTGCTTAACTGGAAAAGAAGTAGCAAGTTGAAAGTTGCTTTCCATCATGCTACTAAATTTAAACCGAGTCTTCCCAATGTTGTGGGTCACACGAAGCTACCTGAACAGTCTACTGACATGCAACTGGTCACACTGCAGCTCTGCACCCTGAAAGTCACAGTGCTTTTTGACTGAATATTTCTGTAATATCTCCCCACCTTCTTACCAGAAAACAAAGGGTGTAAGCTCCAGGGTTTTGCTGTTGGTGTATCAATCAGAGCATCAGAAACGTTTCACTCACCCAATTCCCAATTCACAAATTATCAGATCACCAACACTGCAGGTGGTTGGAAACCTCGATATAAAGATCTGCTGTGGCCTTGCAGCCCTCTTATACCTGCTGGGTGAGATCAATGACCTTGGGCTCTTCCTTACTGATTGCAAAGCCAGCGAGTGGGCAGTGTGTGAAGTGATACTCTTAGAGGAACAGAACAATCCCCTGCAAAAAGTACTATTTAAAGCACTCACACACACTCTCTCCGCCACCCGCGCCCACACTCATACTCACTCGCACACGCATCCCCCTCCTCGCTCCCCCGCACACGCACACACTCCCACCCACCCCACCCCAACACACACACACGCATTTTCAGATTTTGAATTGCTGATACATTCTATTTTGTTCAAAAAGCACACAATTTGTAGAGAAGTCAATGTTGCACTTTAAAAATTCGTACTTTGGAAATAAAACCAGTCTGACTCCAAGGTGATACACAGCCATATTCTAAACAAGGCCTCACACCTGAAATGCACTGTCTTACCTGAGATGTCACCTCTGATATAGGGATAAAACCTTTAGTTATCTCAGGGTACTGACTTCAAAGAAATTCTGGGATTTGCATATTAATCAAATGAAAGCTGCATCTCCTTTCTAACTGATTAAAGATTTAACAGCTGTCTTAGGTTTGTTCAATACATTCACATCAGTTCTATGACCTTTTGCTTATAAATTCTGCGTCTGATGCCACCTCTCTCACTAACACCTGAAGGAGCAAGACTCCGAAAGCTTGTGTTTTCAAATAAACCTGTTGGACTATCATTTGGTGTTGTGATTTTTGACCTTGACCAATAAGCAGCATAGACTTACTTATTCATGCTGGCAACAAATCCAACAACAGACTGCTTCCCCCTGACAGGGTCGTGGTACACATCCATTCCTATCACCATCAGCTGTTTCTGAAACAGGGCAGACAAAGAGCTAAGCATAATGCACATACAAATACTTAATACTTGTACTTATCTAGGCAAAGCTGAGCGCTATACATTACACCAGATCAGTTAGAGATCATTACGGAATGAGGATTATCTACCCCAGGCAAATAATATATATATATTTACTCAGTAGTTTTACGAAGAGTCAATTTAGACCGTCAAGCCTGTTCCACCTCTCAGTAATATCCTGGCTTGTCTGCAAACCAAATACATAATGTGGCTCTTCATACCTTTGGTTAGCAAAAAATTCTACGATGGGTTTTCAAATTAACCATTGTTTGAGCACCAATTGCAGTCCATAGAAGACAATTCCATATTCACCCTCTTTCTACACTCACTTCCCACACCTGAAAGGTTCAATTTATCTTTAATTAAACAAAGCACTGTGGGTGCCGGAAATCTGAAATAGAGACACAAAATATGGGCGGCACGGTGGCTCAGCAATTAGCAGTGCTGCCTCACAGTACTAGGGAGCCGTGTCTGCGTGGGTTTCCTCCAGGTGCTCTAGTTTCCTTCTACAGTCCAAAGATGTGCAGGTTAGTTGGATTGGCCATGCTAAATTGCCAATTGAAGTCCCCAGGCAACAAAACACTTGCACACTTGGAGATGTTTATTCTGAAATTATCAAGTGTCATGCAGACTGTAGTTTCAGACATTAAATTGACAGACAATGAGCAGCTTCAAGTGTCTACACTCCCTGGATAAAAAAAAAAACAACTGCAGTCAAGGTGGAACATCTTCTGCTGCCACCTAGATTTACTCACTAAAAATCTGCTAAATTTGCAGGCACAATTTGCAAGCCAGAGAACTTGTCACTGCACTCCGTTACTAAGTTATTCATGTCTTTTTATAGAAGCTTTCATCAACTGTTTTTCACATGGGACTATTAATGTGGAAGGATGGTCACAGTTAGCTGGACGGTTGCTTTGCAATTCAGTGTGATGCGAACAGCATTAGCTGAGGTTATTATGAAGGACTCTCCTTCTCAATCTCTCTCCTCACCTGAAGCATGGTGACCCTGAAGTAAAACTCTAGTGAGAGCAGCTCAGTGGTCTGGAAACTAGACCTTTATCGTGTCACTGAGTTATACAGCATACTGCATGAGAAGTTACATTTTGCAAATAAAACCTCAGGATGACTTCTATGTGGAAAGTTTCATTCAATACCCTTAACCAAAACCAGTCACATAAGCTAACAGGGAGTCATACTGACCCTACATTAGGTAGAGCTCCCTCCATTTCTTTGACAATGTCCTGGAATATGTTTTATGCATCTGAGGATGGGTAGGAGACTTGCTTAAACACGTCATTCAAAGAACAGAACCTCCTACACCACATTACTCCCTTAACAAAGCTGAACCTCAGCCTTCATTTTATGCTCGCATCTTAGAACAGAGACCTGATCCCTCAACTTTAGAATCCCTATAGTGTGGAAGCAGGCCATTCAGCCTCGAGTCCACACCAGCCCTCTGGACAGCATCCAGCCAGACCAACCCCCCCAACCAAATCCTGTAACCCTGTGCATCCCTGGACACTATGGGCAATTGAGCATGGCCAATCGATCTAACCCATACACGTTTGGACTATGGGAGGAAACCGGAGCATGCAGAGGAAACCCACAGAGACATGGGGAGAGCACGCAAGCTCCACACTGTCATCTGAGGCTAGAATCGAACCCAGGTCCCTGGCACTGAGGCAGCAGTGCTACCCACTGTGCCATTGTTCCACAAAACAAACACAGTCCTCCCAACAGCGTGGCTGATACCTGCTGCTGGTCTGTACAACAGCTCTGAAACCAAATGTACCAAGTAGATGGTGACAAATGAGCCTGGAGGCAAGATCCATATACTCACCAGTGGTATGTCCACACCCCACAGCTCTCCACCCAACTTGCAATTTATCTGCAGCAGGATCTTTTGGCAGATGCTTCTCATCCTAACAGTCTGAGAGACTGTCCTCACATTAATCACCTGGAGAGATCCAAGTTAGCATATGTTACTGATCAAATTATCAATGCCACGATAAATCCCTATCCTGCTCCTGTCATGCACTGGATTATCTGAACATAGATAAAGAGAAAATCAGACAGACAATTCTCTGAATGCCCAACTGGATTAAATGTCAAGCAAAAGCATGACATGTGTGCATTTCCCACAACTCTAAATTCTTGGGAACCCATTGACCAGACATTGATTAAAATATTTCAAAGGAACTGAACTGAGTGGTCAATGTATCCTGAATTATCCCATTTTACCCCCTTCACTGTCCCCCAAACCCGGTTTCCTCGAAGTGCAAGAACAAGTCCATAAATTGACCAGGTCCAATTTATCACTGGATCAGGTAACAGTCGATGTCCCTGAGTATTGGTTAATTTGACAGAAAATAGGAACCCAGACAAAAATAAAATTACTGCAGATGCTTGTAATAAAAACACAAAGCACTGGAACAGTCAGCAGCTGTGAAGATAGAAACAAAGTCAACATTTCACCCCTAGGACTTCATTTCAGAACTGGAAGAGGAAAATCTAAGGCCTCAGAAAAATGACCTGGAGACTCGCTTTTGGCAGATGATTACAATATTGAGGATTAAGTCACCATCATTATTATTATTACCACTGATATCCCTCTCCAATATTGCCACTGCTCATTATCCATTCACACAATCACCTGACTTACATTTGCCCATATTAAACACCTCTGCCCTAGATCCTTGGTCTATCCCAATCCTTCAACATTTCCTCAGTTTGCTCCTAGTTGCTCATGTCATTTCCCCTTCAGTATAATGTACTAATTCCTACTTCCACTTCCAACACATTTCTTAGGCACAGAACCAAGGAGACCAAATAAAGTGAAATTGGACAACAGCTAATCGAATCAGTGTTAAGGACTAAATATTCTCATCCCAGTCATCTTCATACATTTAAACACAACTGCCCAGTAAAAAAAGGGGGGCGCGGTTTGATGGACTGGCAGTATAATGTTCTGGGGACCCAGGTTCGAGTCCCGCCATGGCAAATGGTGGAATTTCAATTCAACTAAAAGAAAATCTGGAATTAAAAGTCTAGAGATAACCATAAATCCATTGTCAATTGTCAGGAAAACTCATCTGGTTCACGAATGTCCTTTTGGAAGGAAACTGCCGTGCGTACCTGTTCTGGCCTACATGGGATTCCAGACCCACAGCGATGTGGTTCACTCTTAACTGCCTTCTAGGCAACAAATGCTATCTAGCCAGCAACACCCACAGCCCTTGAATGAATCTAAAAAATGGCTAAAACTCCCCTCTGGCACAATCGTGAATAAGTGTAGTGCACTAACACCACCGAGATTAAGCTTTCAGAAAGTGGCTCTCATGGTCTTCCAGGAGCTGAACCCTTACCTGCGAGGAGACAGGAGATTGCACACAGCAGAGTTTCTTAATGGCATGATACAGGTCATCACGGTTGCCTGTCACTATGCATACCACAAGCTTCACTGAACCCTGTGAATACGAAGCACAAGCATGGCGTTTTAACAGGTCAAACATGTCACACCATGTTAGATTTAATTGAATTGTTCCACCTTTAGTAAAGTTCTGTGCTGAGAGCCAACAATTCCAAGTGATAAAAGACATCAGCACCTAGAGTCACCAGTGAGCAGTGCCAGATCCACTAACAGTGTGGATGTTACAAAAATTAACTTCCTCTACTCAGTCCCAAATTGTGTTCACCCATGTCCCCAAAGACATCTCCACTTCTTGCTAAGAAAGGAAGAAGGAAAAAAGAAATAATTTGTAGTTGCTTGTGTTTTCCACATTCCCAAAGCCATCACTTAAATGCAATTCACGTCTTTTAAATTGGATTTAGTGCCACAGAGGCAGAAAGGGTAACTTCAGCAGCACAATCTCATAAACAGTAAAGAGATAAATGCGTAGCACATCTGTTTGAGGTTTTCTAAGAAAATTAATCAGTCATGGGAGATGGGGATCATTGCTACGCTATCATTTATTGCTCACCACTTGAGGATACCCTTCCCAGACTGCTTCACTGTGACACCAATTACGAGAACTGACTGAGGATGTGACTGGTAAAGTTGATGAGGGGAGCCAGTTAATGCTGCATATTTGGACTAATGGGATACCTTGGGATCAGTACCGGGACCTCGGCTTTTCACAAATTTGTTAATGATTAAGGCAGAAGAACTAAATGAATAACTCAAAATTTGCAGGTAACAAAGCTGGGTGACAGAGTGAGATGTGAGGAGGATAGAGATGTTGCACTGTGAGTTGGACAAGTTCAGCGAGTGGGTAATGCATAGCAGATGCAGGAAAATATGGTTAAATGAGAGGGTATCCACTTTGGTTGAAAAAATAGGAAGGCAGACTGAATGCTGTAAATTGAGAGAGGGGAATGTTCAACGAGATCTGGGTATCCTCATATCTAAGTGACTAGAAGCTAGCGTGCAGAGCAGGCAATACAGAAGATAAACTGAATGTTAGCCTTTCTAGCGAGAGGATTCGGTATGGGAACAAATATGTCTTGCTGAAATTAAAAAGGCAATGGTGAGGCCACACCTGGAATATTGTGGGCAGTTTTGGTCTCGTTATCCAAAGAAGGATGTTCTTACTATAGAGGGAGTGCAGTGCAGGTTTAGCAAATTGTTTCCTGGGATGGCAGGACTGACATACAAGGAGAGATTAGAGTTTGAGTTGGTTATGATTTTAAATGGCCTACTCCTGTTCCGACTTTCTATGTTTTCTAATAGAAATTGGTGGGGAGTGACCTTCTTGAAGCACGCAAAAGGGACATTTTCTTAAATGCCATTGAGGAAACAGACAATTCTTCTAGAAAGGGTTCTTTGATAACCACTTGACAGAGTAGACAGGGCCTCTGCACATCCATAACATCAATAGGATAGTTAAGGCAGCATATGGGATATTTGCTTTCATCAGTCACGGCAGACAGTAGAGAGCAAGAAGGTAATATTGGAGTTGTACATAGCATTGGTTAGGCCACAGCTGGACTACTGTGTGCAGTTCTGGTCACCTCACTACAGGAAAGACGTGACAGCACTCAACAGGGTAAAGAGGAGGTTCACCAGGATATTTCCTGGCTTGGAGAAAATGAGCTATAAGCAGAGTCTAGGTAGTCTTGGATTGTTTCCTTTAGAGCAGCACAGAGGGAGGGGGGAGCATGATTGAGGTGAATAAGATTAATGGGTATGAACAGGTGGAATAGAGAGCAGCTGTTCCCTTTGGTTTAGGGGTCAAATCACAAGGGTTTTAGGCTAAGGAATAGGAGATTCAGAGGAGATCTGATTAAAAAATTTTCACCTACAGGGTGGTGGGAATCTGGAATGCACTGCCTGGGGAGTTAGTGGAGGTCGAAAAGCTTAACATTTAGAATACAAAATTTGATAGAGCACTTAATATATCACAACACTCAGGGATATGGGACAACCTGGCATTATTTCAACTCCATGTTCCATGCTGCTTTCATGTTCCCAGGAGTAGGTTAAGGGAATTGGCAACTCCAAGTTAAACATAATTAAAAATGGACTTGGTACCAACCAAATTATTCAGGTGATTGGAGGAAGATATTGGGAGATGTCAGAGGTAGGTTCTTTACACAGAGAGTGGTGGGCGTGTGGAATGCGCTGCCGGCAATGGCAGGGTATTGGGATTAGTGTGCCTTTAGCGGTAGGCATGTCGGTACAGGCACGATGGCTGCAGGCTTTTTCCGTGCTCTATCACCCTTGTAAAGCTGCATTGCTTTTCAAAGTCTTCAGGAATCAAATAAAGGGAAGAGGTCAGCAATTTAGTATTGGAAAAGCCAAATAAGCAGCCAGGCTGCTACGAGACAGCCATGTCAAGCTCCATAGTGCATTCAGCAAACCATTCTCTACCACTACATACATCCAGTACAATTCAGCACTACACATACTAGTAGATTTTGAAGTTAAGAATTATATTTTCCCCAGCTGATACATAGAAGGGCAAGTAGCCTGGAACATACATTACTCCCCAGGTAGGATTGGAGAGTTCGGACATAGGTCTGGGTGCGATCGTCCTTCAGCTCGATGTATGCAGGCTGCTGGAAGGTCATTCCAATGGGTTCTGCCACCTTTGACATGAAGCTGACTAGATCCTTGGCATGTGTTGCACTTTGCTTGGTGTACAAGAGAGCCCAGCAGTGTAGCATGGCCTGTGCTCAAAGCAAGGAAGTACACATTTAAAATCAATACAAACACTCCAGAAAGAAAACTTTTCTTGGCCGTTCTCAAGCTTTCTCATAAAACAGATAATCTATCTCCATGTTGGTGAAGCTGTGAAAGCTTTCTGGGTAGTCAAGTCCTTCAAGCTTCCTCAATGCTTTTTTATTTCCTTTCAGTCTTAATTAGGCCAGCATTGACACAAAGGCAAGCACTCACACTTCTCAATAACAAGGCCTTGGATTCCAGTCCCACCGCAGAGACTACTGCAAGAGCAGAGAAAATTCACGCTGCTGCGTCCTGGCACATATTTAACTCTCAACCAGCTTCTTACGACCTGTATGTCTGTCTAATATCACACTGCTGTCTGTCAGGGTTGATTTTGCATGATTTGGCTGCTACTGCTAAATCACAGCAGTGACTTCTGGCTGTGAAGCTCTTTGGTCATTGCGAGGCTGTGAAAGGCCCGACGAAATTCAGTCGTTTCAAAAAAAAAAAAATCTACCACACTGCCCCTCAATTCCGAGTCCTGGCATTATTTCAACTCCATGTTCCATGCTGCTTTCATGTTCCCAGGAGTAGGTTAAGGGAATTGGCAACTCCAAGTTAAACATAATTAAAAATGGACTTGATACCAACCAAATTATTCAGGTGATTGGAGGAAGGTATTGGGAGATGTCAGAGGTAGGTTCTTTACACAGAGAGTGGTGGGTGTGTGGAATGCGCTGCCGGCAATGGTAGTGGAGTCAGATACTTTAGACTTTTAAGTGACTCTTGGAGAGGCACATGGAGGATAGTAAAATGTAGGGTACGCAGGGTAGACTGATCTGAGTAGCATAACAGGTCGGCCTGAGATGTTGTGCCGAAGGGCCTGTATTGTGCTGTACTGTTCTATGTTCTAAACAACAGTAAAATACACACAGAAAAACAGAAGAACTGCAGATGCTGGAAATCAGAAACAAAAACAAATTGCTGGAAAAATTCAGCAGGTCTGACAGCACCTATGGATAGAAATCAGAGTTAACCTTTCAGATCCAATGACGCTTCTTCAGATTCTGAAGAAGGGTCTAGGCCTGAAACGTCAGCCTTCCTGCTCCTCTGATGCTATTTGGCCTGCTGTGTTCATCCAGCTCTACAGCTTGTTATCTCAGATTCTCCAGCATCTGCAGTTCCTACCATCTCGGAAATACACACAGGTGTGGTTCAGGCCAGATCATCTTAAAACTCATTCTCAGCATCAAGACCGCTTACTTCTGCACACTAAAAGAGATGGAAGATTTTAAAGACCAGGTATATGACTTTGATAAAGCCTAAGCCCAGACCAAGTTGTTAATACAGGAAAAGCTGGCAAGCCTTTACACTCGAGTAATGAGTTTGTACTCAGGAATTCTGTAATGACAACACTTGCGAAACAGCGACTGAGCCAGAAACTACATCATAGAACATAGAACATACAACAGTACAGGCCCTTTGGCCCACGATGTCGTACCGATCTATTATCCTACTAAGATCAATCTACCCTGCATACCCTACATTTTACTATCCTCCATGCCCCTATCCAAGAGTCAGTTAAAAGTCTCTCAAGTATCTGACTCCACTACCACTGCCGGCAGCGCATTCCACACACCCACCATTCTCTGTGTGAAGAACCTACCTCTGACATCTCCCCTATACCTTCCTCCAATCACCTTAAAATTACGCCCCCTCATAACAGTCATTTCCGCCCTGGGAAAAAGTCTCTCACTATCCACTCTATCTATGCCTCTCATCATCTTGCACACCTCTATCAAGTCACCTCTCATCCTTCTTTGCTCCAATGAAAAAAACCCTAGCTCCCTCAACCTTTCCTCATAAGACCTGCTCTCCGGTCCAGGCAGCATTCCGGTAAATCTCCTCTGCACCCTCTCTAAAGCTTCCACATCTTTCCTAGAATGAGGTGACCAGAACTGAACACAATACTCCAAGTGTGGTCTCACCAGAGTTGTATAGAACTACAGCATAACCTCTTAAACTCCATTCCCCTGCAATGAAAGCCAACACACCACACGCCTTCTTTACAACCGTATCAACTCTGAGGGATCGATCGACGTGGACCCCAAGATCCCTCTGTTTCTCAACACTGCTGGGAATCCTGCCATTAACCCTGTATTCTGCATTCAAATTCGACCTTCCAAAATGAATCACTTCACGCTTTTCTGCATTGATTTCCATCTGCCACTTCTTTGCCCAGCTCTGCATCCTGTCAATGTCCCATTGCAACCTACAACAGCCCTCCACGCTGTCCACAGCTCCACCAACCTTCGTGTCATCGGCAAACTTCCTAACCCACCCTTCCACTTCCTCATCCAAGTCATTCATAAAGATCACAAAGAGCAGAGGTCCCAGAACAGATCCCTGCAGAACACCACTGGTCACCGAGCTCCAGGCTGAATATTTTCCACCTGCTACCACCCTCTGTCTTCTATTGGACAGTCAATTCTGTATCCAGACAGCCAAATTTCCCAAAATCCCATGCCTCTTTACATTCTGAATGAGCCTACCATAGGAAACCTTATCAAATGCCTTGCTAAATTCCATATACACCACATCCACTGCTCTACCTTCATCGATGTGTTTTGTCACATCCTCAAAGAATTCAATAAGGATTGTGAGGCATGACCTGCCCCTCACAAAGCCATGCTGTCCATTTCTAATCAAACTGTGCTTTTCCAAATAATCATAAATACTATCTTTCAGAATCCTCTTCAATAATTTGCATACCACAGAAGAAAGACTGACCGGTCTGTAATTTCCAGGGTTATCCCTATTTCCTTGCACGAACAAGGGAATGACATTTGCCACCCTCCAAACTTCTGGTACTACTCCAGTGGACAGTGAGAATGCAAAGATCATTGCCAAAGGGGCAGCCAACCTCTTCCCTCGCTTCCCGTAGTAACCTTGGGTATATTCCGTCTGGCTCAGGGGACTTATTTATCCTCATGTTTTACAAAATTTCTAGCACATCCTTCTTCCTAACATCAACCTGTTCGAGCATATCTGCCTGTTTCATGCTATCCTCACAAACATCAAGGTCCCTCTCACTGGTGAATACTGAAGCAAAGTATTCAAAGGATACATCATGTACAATATGACATTGGATTGATGCATGAAGCAAATGTGTGAAGGGATTCTATGATTGGAAAGGTGACGAGGATTTAATGCATGCACTAAGAACAAAACCAACAGGAAACAGGAAGGCTTAACTGCCTAATTCCAACCTTTAAGATCTTCATACATGACAATGGAATCAAATGCATCAATAAATCTGATCTTCGTAGGATTGTTACAATACAGAATGAGACCATTCGGCCCATTGTGTCTGCACCAGTTCTCCAAGTAAGCATTAGTTCTAATATCCTGTCCTTTCCCCACAGTTCCGCACATCAGTTCTCGTAACACAATCATCTAATTCTTTCTTGAATTGCCTCAAGAGAACCTGCCCCCTGCCATATTTCGTGCACCATATTTCAGACCGCAACTACTCACTGTGTGAAATAATTTATTCTCACATGTGACCAACAGAGTTCCATCTGACAGCGGGAATGTCAGATTGCTGCACGGATCCTCAAGTCTGCTTACCGCTGATATCACTTTCTCCCGCGCAACCTCTCTCGACCAGTTAACATCAGTCCCACTTGGAAACGATTTGTACCGTACTATGATCTTTTCTGGAGGTAAAATTCTTCCTTCCGTCTATTAAAGATAATTTGGCCAAGGGGGAAGAAAGGCAAAGAGTTACTGTAAATAATCCACACAGGCTTGTGATTTGAAGACATGGTTTATTTCATGACGTGCAACAAACAGCTGGTTCATTTTGCTAACTATTCACCCTGTTCAATATTCCATTTGAAATATATGAAGTGCCTTTTCTACTCACGTTCTCTTGCCTTCTTCTTTTAAAGGTATTAGCTGTGACCCAAGGCAAAGCAGTCACATCTCATGTACTGTGCACAAACGTCATTCTAAAGGGTGAAGCTTTAACGTCAGCACCAAGAGAGTGCTGCATTGTCAGAGGTGCTAGCTTCTGGATGAAATATGGCCCTATCTGATCTTTCACATGGACGTTAAAAGATTCAATGGGATCAAGCTGTGAGAATATCATCTAACACATTCTTGACATTGTAACAACAACTAAACTGCAAGAGTATTTGATTGGCTGTCAAGTGCTTCCTGAAGACTGCCAGGGCATGCACTGTTCTGTAGTAACAGGGACAAGCTGGAAAAACAACTTGCTGCCAGGCTCCACTAAGACCCAGAATATGAAAATGATGGCTGAATTTCCATTCTTGGCTTTCTGTGGCTAATTACCGAGCTCATCCCAGTGTAAATTGGTAACTGCACACAGGTGCTTTGCAAAGTAACACAAAGAAACTCAATGCATTTTCTTGGCCCTGCATTAGCATCACCAGGCAGATGGGTTCCTTCTCCACATGGGGCATATGGCCAGCCCACATTTGTTGCAACATGCCTCTCCCACTCCAACGTTTCAGATTGGCAAGCTACTTCTGTACAGGGTAGAACACAAATACCTGCCTTATAAATATCTTCATCTATGACAAGCCCCCAATGTGCCAGTTCTTCTTGGACAATGGCATTTTTCTTGATGTTGTCCAGCAATTTTCGTAAAGCCATATGGTGTTGTTCTGGAGTCAGGTTGATCTGCACAGCCAGGTCCTACAAGTTCAAACCAAAACCAATCAGATTTACAACTGGAACCATAACCTCTAACTTTGATGACCGTCAGTCAAGGGTCAGTTGTGGCACTCCCACCTTAAACAGAAGCTGATCAAGGATTCTAATCCCACTCAAAAGAAGGATGACGCTACCAGTGCAATTCAGGAGGAGTGCTGCTTACTGCAGATACATTGTCCCAATGAGTACCAATTGCTCTCAATCACAGTGAAAGACTGCACATATACACACTCCATTGACACATTTGCATCATTGACCTCATACAGGATAGACCGGATAGGGCATATCTTTATTCTCAAAAGGATATTTATGAATCAGTTGCCGTTTTGTGACAAATGATCACAAAGACACCAATTTGTGAATGATTTTTCACTAATCTTCCTCAAGACATTTCTAGGTTATTAGTCTACACAACATAACTCACTAGGCAACAGTACCCTACATATTGCAGCAACACTTAGCGAGTCCATCCATTTTCACCAGAATTAAGTGGATATGTTCAAACTCATATCTCAAGCTCAACCTTTCTCTAATTTATTTTATCAGCATGACATGGCAACAGTGGTCCCTGGGCATCACTCTCATGACCAAGTTATAAATATAGACCCACAGCCTTCCTTGCACTTGCAGAAACCAAGACTCCTTTACCCAGACTCTTGCATACCTCAAAAATGAGAACCAGTCTCTCTCCCTCCATCTCCCTTTGAGTAACAGATGGGTTTTCATACCTTAGGTTTAAGATACCCCACTCACCGCCTCCAGCTGGTGTGCTGCCAAACAGTTTGCTATTTCACCCAGGTTCCTCAAAAGGAACGGCAAGGGAGCCTCAAGAGGTTTTCAACGTTTTTGAAGGATTTTAAGTTGACAGAGAAAAACTGTTTCCAATGGCAGGAGAAAAATTACAGAAGAACGTGAGTTTGGTTTAAAACCAATGTTTAACATGATCTGGAATACATTGCCTGAACAGATGGTGGCAGCTGATTCAATTCTAACTTTGATGTCAGAATTGACTCTGCACTTGAACCTGAAAATTGTAAAGCTGTGGATAAATCAGGGGATTGAGATGAATTGGATAGATCTTTCAGGGACCTACATGAAACAATGGGCTCAACAGCCTCTACATTCTACAATGAAGGAAATGTTTGCATCTTACGGTCACTGCAAGCCACACATCAGTACGTGCCCACAACATGGAGTGACTTCAGTTGGTTACTATTGTACTCCATACAATAACATACCCAAGTGAAACAATCGATCAGCAGAATTGTTACTTGCCCTCATTGCACGGAAATCCTTCCTCATCTGATCAGGGATCCCAGTCATGAAAGACAGCTCAGGTACAAGGAGGATCTCACTTTGGATAGGCTGTGGGAAAAAATATGCACAGGTTAAATTTATGAACACAGTTTTCATGTTGAGATCAGCTTACCCACAAAACAAATCTGTCCCCATTTCTACACTTTGTGGGGTATTTCAGTGAACAGGCAAACACATGATGCAAATAGACAAGGCACAGAAATTTATCCCCATTTGTGACATACACTACACTTCAGCAAAGATGTTGAATATTCCAGTGGGAGCAAAGTTGGGTTAAAAAAGATGGTTCCTGCGTTAAGTAATTGCAAAAAGTGACAGAAACCGAGCTAGAGCACAGGAAGTAAGAGGGGAAACTTAGCACAGTTATTAAAAAACAAAAAATTATTCTTAAAGAGTAAATAAGGAAAAGGTGTTACCAACAGGAAGAGAGTTAGTAACCAGAGGACACAGATTTAAGGAATATCATTAAAGCAGCACGGTAACTTTCCATCCAACCTATCTCCCTCCAAACTGACTGCACTCCGTGCACTTAGATCTAACCCTGACTTAGTCATTAAGCCTGCCGATAAGGGTGGTGCTGTTGTAGTCTGGCATACTGACCTCTATATTGCAGAGGCTGAGCGCCAACTCTCAGATACCACCTCCTACCTTCCCCTGGACCATGACCCCACTGTGGCACATCAGGCCATTGTATCCACTACGGTAACTGATCTCATTTCATCCGGTGATCTCCTCTCCTCCGCTTCCAAGCTAATAGTCCCCCAACCCCGCACAGCTCGCTTCTACCTCCTGCCAAAAATCCACAAACAGGACTGACCGCGCAGACCCACTGTTTCAGCCTGCTCGTGCCCCACAGAACTCATCTCTTCCTACCTTGACTCAGTCTTCTCCCCTCGGTACAATCCCTACCCACGTACATCCATGATTCCTCTGACGCCTTACGTCGGTTTCAAAACTTCCAGTTTACCGGTTCCAGCCACCTCCTCTTTACCGTGGACGCGCAATCCCTTTACACGTCCATTCCCCACCAGGAGCATCTTAGGCTCTCCGCTTCTTCGTGGAGCAAAGAACTGAATCATCCCCACCACCGCCCTCCTCCGCTTGGCCGAGCTTGTCCTCGCCCTCAAAAACTTCTCTTTCAACTCCTTTCATTTTCTTCAGGTAAGAGGGGTTGCCAAGGGTACCCGCATGGGCCCTAGTTAGGCCTGTCTCTTCATGGGGTATGTGGAACATTCCTTGTTCCAGTCCTATTCCGGCCCCCACCCACAACTCTTTCTCCGATACATCGATGATATCGTTGGTGCTGCTTCCCTCGCTCCTCTGGAATTGGAAAACTTCATCAATTTTGCCTCCAATTTCCACCCTGCCCTCACTTTCACCTGGTCTATCTCAGACTCCTCCCTTCCCTTCCTTGACATTTCTGTTTCCATTTCTGTGGATAGACTGGCCACTAATATCCATTACAAACCCACTGACTCCCACAGCAATCTGGACTATACATCCTCACACCCTGCTTCCTGTGAAGACTCCATCCCATTTTCTCAGTTCCTCCGTCTCCGTCGCATATGTTCAGATGAGGCCAATTTCGACAAAGGAGCCTCCGAAATGTCCACCTTCTTCCTCAACCGAGGATTCCCCACCTCCGTTGTCGACAGGGGCCTCAACCAGGTCCGACCCATCTCCCACATTTCCGCCCTGACCCCTTCTGTTCCCTCCCGCAACAGCAAGTGTTCCCCTTATCCTCACCTACCATCCCACCAGCATCTACACCCAGAAGATCATCAGACGCCATTTCCGCCACCTCCAGCAAGATGCAACCACTAGACACATATTCCCCTCCCCTCTCTCGTCCGCCTTCCACAGGGACCGTTCCCTCCGGGACACCCTAGTCCACACTTCCTTCACTCCCAGCACCTCCCCACAGCCCTACGGCACCTTCCCCTGTAACCGGCGAAGGTGCAACGTCTGCCCATTTACCTCCTCCCTCCCCACTATCCAAGGGCCCAAACATACCTTCCAGGTGAAGCAACACTTCACTTGTACTTCCCAGAATCTGGTCTACTGCATTCGCTGCTCATAATGTGGTCTCCTCTACATTGCGGAAACGAAGCGAAGACTTGGCAACCGCTTCACAGAACATCTACGTTCTGTTCACAAAAAAGACCCTGAACTACCTGTTGCCTGCCACTTCAACGCACCACCCTGCTCCCTGGCCAACATCTCGGTCTCTGGCTTGCTACAGTGTTCCAGTGAAGCCCAATGCAAGCTGGAGAAACACCACCTCATTTTCTGCTTGGGGACCCTACAGCCCTCTGGACTCAATATTGAGTTCAATAATTTTAGGGCCTAAACCCTCCCATGTCCCAGCCCCCCTACTCAACACACCAGGCCTTGTTACCACATAGCCTGCCACTACACACCCGCTGTTGTTAGTCACTAACAGTCCCCTTTAACAACTATTCACCCTCCCAGCCTGATCACTAGCAATTCCTTTGTCTGTCCAACTGTCGTTCTCTCTCTTTGGGCTCTATCCTATCGTTTTCTCCCTACCCCACCCACGTCCCTATTTTCTGCAAATAAACTGACATTTTCCCAGCCACTATCCAGTTCTGAGGAAGGGTCACCGGACCTGAAACGTTAACTCTGTTTTCTCCTTCACAGATGCTGCCAGACCTGCTGAGCTTTTCCAGCAACTTTGTTTTTGTTCCTGATTTACAGCATCCGCAGTGGTTTTGGTTTCCATTTTACCCGTTGGGCTGCATTTCCCGACACAGTCATGGAAACAGACTTCAAAACAAGTTTCAAAAGGGAACTGGATAAAATCCAATAAGCTAAGAAATCAAAGCAGGGTTATGGGGAAGAGCACAGAGAGCAGAACCAAAGGGGTTTACCAAGGATTTTATGATTTTAACTTGTACCTGTCCCTGTGGTCCATACTTCTGTTTAGGTCGATATACAAGGAGAGGCTGGTTCAAATCCTGAATGGTAATCCCATAGGCTTGGCTGGAATCGTAAAGCCAATATATCAAAGATAACATTTCAATCCTACTGAAATAACGAGTGAAACACTTCACAGATTCGCTTCAAGGAATCCATCCCGAAACTCTCCAACTTGGTTATAATATGAATTGTAAGCTTTGGTGAATTTTAGGGAACAGAACTGTTAAAAATAACAACAAGTTGCAACTGAACTTTATCCTGATGACACACAAGTAATCTCATCATTTTTCCACTGACAAGTACTGTGTCTAAATGTCAGAACATCATGAAAAACGTCACCATGCCCTCTCAGAACCAGTTTTCAGCCATTTGTTTATTTCTACTACCTCTTTTTTCTTGTCCTGGGTATTGAATGCTTGATCTGATATACCCAGGCCGGATCACATGCTTGGGAACACAGGCTTGTGTTATCCAATGTGGACAAAGGACAGGGCTGCTAGGTGGATGAACAAACTGGCCTGGCATCACAGGGCAGGACGCTAATCAAGCAGAACCAATTGAGATTGAGGACTGCATTGTCAGATGGATAGATATTGTCCTCAGTAACCATGTCCAGAAGCTCTGAATGTTACTTGGCCAGGATTGAGAACATCTCCTTATGGGCAGAGAAAAACTTGCAGTGTGGGAAATGGACCTAATTTCAAAGGATTCAATGACACAGGTAACTCTTAGAGTAACACTCTGCTGTAAAAGCTCATAGTGCTAAGGTCCAAATAAAGTATGGAACATTAAAGATAGCAGATCTCTGGATTGTTACCAAGCCACACAACACTTGTTATACAGCCAAGCAGATTAGAAAATATTAAGTGTAGCTCAAAGAGCAGTGTGGGAAGGAGGATTTTGATTCACAGGGCATTAGCACTAACTGGAAATACAGAAAATGCAGCACAGGATAAAAAAAATGTCTCGATCTAATTTTCCAGAGCTTTGCCAAGATCATACCCTGAGATGTATGTGAAACTCCTCTTGATGTTTTGGTCAAAAATAAGAAGAAAGCATATGTTTGGTACAGACAGCAGGAATCAAGTGAATCCCTAGAAGAGTATGAAGGCAGTCAGACTTTACTTAAGGGGAATCAGGAGGGCTAAAAGGAGACATGAGATAGCTATGGCAAGTAGGGTTAAGGAGAATTCAAAGGGATTCTACAAATATATTAGGAACAAGAGGGTAACTAGGGAGAGAATATGGCCCCTCAAAGATCAGCAAGGCCACCTATGCGTGGAAGCTCAGGAGATGGAGGATATTCTAAATGAGTATTTTACATCAGTGTTGACTGTGGAGAAGGAGTTGCAAGATAGAGAACGTGGGGAAATAAATTTCAACACCTTGAAAAATGTCCACATTACAGACGCGGTGGCGCTGGACGTCTTAAAACACATGTAGGTGGATGAATCCCCAGGACCTGATCAGGTGTACCCGAGAACTCTGGGGAGTGAGGTAAGAGATTGCTGGGCCCCTTGCTGAGATATTTTGTATCGTCGATAGCCACAGGTGAGGTGCTAGAAGACTGGAGGGTGACTAACATTGTGCCATGTATTTGGAAAGGCAAGGACTAATTAGGGATAGTCAACATGGCTGTGTGTGTGGGAAATCGTGTCTCACTAACTTGATTGAGTTTTTTCAAGTGGTAACGAAAAGGATTGATGAGAGCAGAACAGTGGATGTGATCTATATGGATTTCAGTAAGGTGTTCGACAAGGCTCACGGTAGACTGATTAGCAAGGTTAGAAATCAGAATACAGGAAGTAGCAGCTATTTGGATACAGAACTGGCTCAAAGGTAGAACACAGAGGGTGGTGGTGGAGGTTTGCTTTTCAGACTGGAGGCCTGTGATCGGTGGAGTGCCGCAAGGATAGGTGCTGGGTCCACAGCTTTTTGTCATTTATGTAAATGATTTGGATGTGTACACAGGAGGTATGGTTAATAAATGTGTAGTGGACAGTGAAGGAGGTTCCCTGAGAGTACAACGGGATCTTGATCAGATGGGCCAATGGGCCAAGGAGCTGTGATTTGGAAAGGCAAATCAGGGCAGGACTTAGAAACTTAATGGTAAGGTCCTGGGAAGTGTTGCTGAACAAAGAGACCTGGGGTGCAGCTTCAACGTTCTTGGCAAGTGGAGTTGTAGATAGATAGGATAGTGAGGAAGGTGTCTGGTATGCTTGCCTTTATTGGTCAGGGCATCGAGTGTAGGAGTTGGGAGGTCATGTTGCAGCTGTTCAGCATATTGGTTACGCCATGTTTGGAATACCACGTGCAATTCTGGTCTCCCTGCTGTAGGAAGGGTGTTGTGAAACTTGGAAGGGTTCAGAAAAGATTTATGAGGATTCCAGCGATAGGGAGAAGGCTGAATAGGCTCGAGCTATTTTCCCTGTTGAGTCACAGAATAAGGGGTGACCTTATAGAGGTCCAAAAAATCATGAGGGGCATGGATACGATAAGCAGACAAGGTCTTTTCTCCAGGGTGGGGAGAGTCCAAAGCTAAAGGGCGTAGGTCTCAGGCAACAGTGGAAAAGATATACAAGCGACCTGAGGGGCAACTTTTTCACACAAAGGGTGGTGCATGCATGGAATGAGCTGCCAGAGGAAGTGGAAGAGGCTGGTGCAATTACAATGTTTTAAAAGTATCTGGCTGAATACATGAATAGGAAGGGTTGAGACAGATATGGGCCAAATGCTGGCAAATGGGACTAGATTTATATTGGGTATCTGGTTGGCATGGATGAGTTGGACTGAAGGGTCTGCTTCCGTGCTGTATGACTATGATGTACTTGCATTGGAGATATGATTGTGACAGTTCGCTTGATTGGTCCCTGGTTGTGCTGTGAGGGAAGCCTGTGTAAATAGCACCCACATTCTCTAGACTTTCGAGGGGGGGAAAAAAAAAGGCAATCTCACTGAAACTCCGGATCTGCTGAATGGGGCAATGCCGATTGCACAGGGGCAAAGTCTCAGGATTAGGGGATCATCATATTGGACTGAAGAAGAGGAACGATTTCTTCACTCAACAGTCTTCTCAACTCTCTATCCTAGATGGTTGTGGATACTCCATTGTTAAACATACTTAAAACTCAAACAGACAAATATTTGGTTTCTCAATGAATCATGGATATGGGAGTAGCAGGAAAGTGGATTTAAATCTCAGAATCAGTTAAGTAGTGGAGCAAGTGCAGTCAATCCCCTGCACCTTTTCCTTATGATCATGTGCACGTGGAGAAGTTAGCAATTGCCATTCTTGTCTTGCTACACTCCTGCTCACCTGTAATAGTCACAGAAGGTAATCTCTCTGCCATTTGCCATCCGGAAGTAGCTTGTTGGGGCTTTGTCCCAGTCTATGTCATCAATGCGGTACGTGCGATTATTATACTTGGTCATGATAATGCTGCCCACTAACTGCTTTGTACAGTCATCCTGGAAATTTTCACTGCTCTTTTGGTATATAGCCTGCCTGAAAAGAAAGGCCACATGTGGACTGGAGTGAACAGGGTGAAACACAGCTCAACAAGAATGTGAGGTTAAGAATGATGAGGAAATATTTTTGGGGGGTGTGATTGCGAATTAAGAAGCCTGAATGCATTTCAGGAAGGATATTAGCTCAGATTCTTCTCACCATTTGACTCTAGAACAATTACAAATAAACCAAGCAGATCATCCAAACACATGCTTGAGATGCCCCCAACATCTTCACCAGACAGGAACTGATGCTGAGATACTAATCCAACAACATTCCTATGGGAAACCTTCAAGGAGCAAACAGACAGGTGCCACAAGATAACAACACAGTAAGGGTGCATCATTCAAACCCTCAGGTTTGTCCACTCTTCACTTCAATAGCGCTTGATCTGTGTCTCAACACCATGCTGTTGCACTGACTGTCTCATTTCCTAGTAAATACTTTTCAATGTTTTGAGCAGGTTACAGATCATTAATTTTCCATACACAACAGAATACAAGACCGGGTTTATACCAGCCAGCCCCAGAAGAAACGGCAGGTTCAAGAAACTAGTGGCAGTGGAATAGAGGAGAAAGCACTAGCCACGTGTATTGGCAGAATCTTATCCTTTCCCCTCGAATTATGGCTTCAGTGTTGCTCCCCTTGGTGGAGTTAGCAAGTACTGAGACTCAAACAGTGGCAAGTGGATTCAATTTGACTTAAACAAAAAACTTGGCTGGACATGACATAAGCAAATACAACAGATTGTGACCAGGAGATGATACACCAAGTTACAAAGAACACACCTTGAATTCACAACTCATGTTAAATATACATGGACATAAAACACATACTCACATAATATCAATGACAGAGTCATTACGAATTACTTTATGGGACACATCAACAAGTAACATTAATCCTCCATCTGTTCTTCGAATGCTTGCAGAGTATCCTGGCCATATCTGCAACCTGTATACAGAAACTCCTCTTAGACACACAAAGAAGCAACTGTACATTGTCCTTGGGCAAGACAACCCAGCAAAATCTAAAATTGTTTCACATTACTGACTGTCACAAAGATCAAGTAGATAATCTTTACTGATGTCACACTACCTGTACTGATTGCAAACAATACTCTAGCTGTAGCCTAACATAGGATTTGAACAAATTCACTATCATGAGCTTATTTCATATTCAATGCACCAGGTATAAAACACAGACTCCTAGCGTCCTTTCTGAAAAGGTCCTTTTAAATGTTCCCTGCTACTATGAACCGTCTTAAGTTTATAACACCCCTGCCATTCTCTCTCAGTACTTCTGGTATTCTTGACTTTCATTTTACATTTCCTCCCAAAATGGACTTGTTCACATAAAGATGCACTTCACAGCATCGGCCATTTCCATAACTACTCTGCAAAACAGTCCAAGTGCTACAATTTCTTGCATTCCTTGCAGAAGTCAGAAAATTGAGAAATGAGCAAATGTTAAAAAAGTTCTTCAGATATGAATAGCAAGGGAAAACAGGCAGGTGACGGAGGTGAAGGTAATTACTGGAATGGAAAGGTGAATCAATTCTAAATAGCAAGTGGAGAACTAAACCAAGAAAGCATTGCTGCTTCTATATTCACAGGGTCGTCTGCAGGTAAGGGAATGGAGAAAACGCTCAGAATTCCCTGATGAGGCAGCTCGTTCATTGTGTTTGTAGAATCTCACAAGCTTCTATTCAAAATTAAACTATCTGCGTGCTTTTTGAAGTGAGGTGTGCGGGCTTGTGCACGGCACAAAAAGAATGGTGAAGGGGAAGGGATTCAGCAACTCTCTTCCAAATTAAGCTCAACAGCCTATTATCATTTTCCAACAATTGCAATAACACCTCATATCCTCCTGCCCTCACACAGTGCTCCAGCACTTGATTGGGCTCTTAAAGAAACTCTCAAAGCTTCACAGTTTTCCTGCTTCATTTCCTGGAGATTCTGGGATGCATCTCACCTGACTCAAGGACCCACCGTACCACTTAAGTGAAAGCTCATTGATTTTGTTTTTTTACTTAAGGTCTGGAGAAGACAGTCACAACTAGATTATTAGTAGCATTTTGGAAACTGATTACATTTCACTTAAATCTTGCCCACCTGTACTGAGGAAGAACAATCGCGCTTGTTGGGTCATAGAAATTTCGTCCGACTAATTTTAATTCCAAAAGCCTCATAGCTCTGCAGAAAGAGAGAGAGAAAGGAGCAGCAAATCAATGCAACAAGATCCTCAGCAAGCTTGACTGTTCTCCTGGAACATGCATCAAAATAAAGTTCAAGGAAACTTCAAATCAAATTATACGACAGCAATTGCACACCATACTGAAAATCTGTAGAAACACAGCCTGGTAATGCACTCAGACCTACATTCCATTCTCTGCCTTTCCTCAGTCCCCTCTTGCTGTGGTAAATCCCTCTCTCATTATGTCTCATTGGTTCCATTTGTGCCAGTATGAACGAATGATTTTACTGTCATGGCTATTTCATAGTGAGAAAATCAGTAAAACACAGTTCCACTGTCACCACAATCCACCACCGTTTTGAATACTTACAAGAATAAGAAAACAAATAGAAAGGTATAGCTTAAGAGGGACTCCATCAGTCCCATGCCAGTTCATCAACAATGCCTGCACTGCCATCCCTTCTCAACACCTCGCTTTCATCAACACTGGACCCAACAAACACTGAACTCTTCAGGCATCATCTTCCGTCGCTGAACCAATTCTCTTCTGCAGTTGCCTTGCTACCACCTGCACTGGAGCCCCCCCAATGCCAGAGTCACATCTCTCACTGTTGTTGTGCTACCCTTCCACTATCACTTCACCACTGCCAGCACCAGACCCAACCAACAGCCAAGTTGCTGATCCTCAGGCATCATCTTTCCCCTGTCAATGTAGTAGCTGCCAATTCAGATCCCAGGTCCTGTGCTTGCCCCAGAAAATTAAGTAGGGGCTCACTACTGCTGCCACGAGGTTCACACTGGACCCACTCACCGTGGGTGGCCTCAAAATAATTTCTCTGCCCTCTTGGGCCTCACATGCTTTGTCAAAGCTCTGAGTAGACCAGGTCTGAATTTAAATCAAGTCTGTGGTGGGTCTGCTTCTTCGGATCACAGTTTCCATGTCATCGTGGAAGAGGTAGTGCACAGACTTTTGGAGGGAGCCAAAGTGGAGGAGGACTCTATAATTTCTCATGTGGCGAAGATCATTTCATTCTGCCCTCAGAGTGGAATCATCATCGCAACTAGGATCTATTCAGCTGCAGGAAAACTCCTGTGTCGTTACCACAGTCAAACCTGCCACTTTTCATGAAGTGGATTACCATTATAGTATCTCTGAGCTCTCCTGGAAAACTTAACTCCTTCAAGGTAAGGGAAATGATGTATGCATTGTGTTCTTAGAGCTATTCTGCTACAGAACATAGAAAAATACATCACAGAGATATGTCCTTCAACCCACCATGTCTACTTCAATCATGATGCCATTCTAAACTAATCGCTTCAGCTGCACACAATCCTTATCCCTCCACTCCCTGCCTATTCACATATCTGTCTAAATGCCTCTTTAACATTGTGTCATAAATTTTAGTGCTTTGGCAGAAATTCCACCTGATCCTAATGTCATTGTTCTTTTAATATTGAATGGCCTTTTCTACCTCACACCAAGTTGGGATTCATGTTCATGTAGTGATGAGTAGCATACTGATGGATGAGTTGTGGAAACCCATGCTAAAGACAGACTCTGTTAGGAGATCTTCAAAGTGCTCCTTCCAGCAGGTGCTGACGCCTCTCCGCTCTTGGTCTGGAGGGTGGAGGGTGGCCTGGAGTGCAGAGACCATAGGTAGCCTTGACCGTGCTAACGGCCCCAGACTTGGGCTCCTCCCTGGACATCAGTCCCTCTAGCCCACACCTTCTGGCCCTTTAGATCAGGCTAGCCTGTCAAACTTAGCAAAGGCAATACAGAGGGTTTTTTTGTAACAATAATAGTTTTGCCAAAGCTGTCAGCACTAGGGTAATAATGTTTGGACAGTGCTGAGGACACAGATACTCTGTGCTTTAAAAATTTCAATGTTTAAATGCAATTCTTGTTCAGATTTTCTCCAAAAGAAAAATCCAAAAAGAAAGAGTGAAGAGGAGAGATGAACAAAAGCAAAGTAAGAAGGAAGCAAAATAAGAACAACCTCAGAAATAAAGAAAGGCAGAGCGTGAACTAGTCCGACAGAGACAGTGCAGCCATATTACCTTCTTAATACCACATTATAGTAGGAGATGCAGAGGTCAGAGTTTGGTTGGAGGATCTTGGTCAATTGAATCTTCATGTCCACTTCCATGCCATCAGTTTTTCTTTGCGATTTCAGAGCCACCACCTAACACGAAACACTGGATGAATGTCAGCTTCAAGCAAGGCAAATACCGGGACCAGTCAGCTACATAAACGCCTTCTCGAGCACCCGAGTCTCATTCAATACCTGACAATGAAGCTCAAATCTGATCTGAAAGACAGCAGCCTCCAACAGTGCATTGCACCTTCAACATTGCAGTGCGAACACTGGTCTGGAATTCGGTTCACGTACAAGACCAAATAATATGGGAACAAAATTAGACTATTCAGCCCATCAAGCCTGCTCTGCCATTTGATCATGGCTGATATGTTCGTCAAACCCATTCTCCTGCCTTCTCCCCGTAACCCTTGATCCCCTTACCGATCAAGAACCTACCTTTGTCTTCTATCCACTCAATGACTTGGCCTCCGTGGCCTCTTGCAGCAAATAATTCCACAGATTCACCACCCCCGGCTGAAGAAGTTCTTCCTTATCTCACCTCTAAATGATCATCCCTTTCACTCCGAGGCTGTCCTCTCAGGTTCAAGACTCTCCTACTAATGAAATGTTCTTCTCCAATTCTACTATACCCAGGCCTCTCAGTATTCTGTAAGTTTCAATCAGAACCCCCTTCATTCTTCTAAACCCTATTGAGTACAGACCCAGAGTCCTCAACCGCTCTCGAATGACAAGCCTTTCAAAACTGGGATAACTTGTGTAAATGTGCTCCAGACGCCCTCAAAGGACAGCATATCTACAGGGCCCAAAACTGCTCTCAATATTCCAAATGCAGTCTAACCAGAGCCTTGTACAGCCTCCGCAGTACATCTCCACTCTTGTATTCTAGCCCTCTTGAAATGAACGCCAACATTGCACTTGCCTTCCTAGCTGCCGAATTAACCTGAATTTTAACCTTTAAGAGAATGCTGAACTAGGTCTCCCACGTCCCTTTGTGCTTCAGATTTCTGACACTTTTGTCCATTTATAAAACAGTCTATGCCTCTTTACTTCCTACCCAAGTGCACAACCTCACATTGTGTTTCATCTGCCACTACTTTTCCCAATTTCCTAGCCTGTTCATTTCCTACTGCATCTTCTCCTCTTCCTCAACACTACCAGACTCTCCACCTACTTTTGGCTTGAACTTCAGATTTTCTAACTCAAATGCTGTTTCCTATTCGTTTATGTGGCGAGTCACCAGCAACGCCAGCATTTATTGCCCAACCCTAAATTCCCATGTTAAATGAGCCACATGCTCGAATTGCTTGGAGCCCAGCCATTTGGTCCAACTGAGTTCAAAGGACAAGCAAGAGCCCAGTGGATTGCTGTGGTCCACAGCCACATACAAGCCAGGCCAGGCCAGCACAACCAATTACCCTCCTTGAGGGACTTCAGTGAACCAGAAGGACATTGATGAGCATAAACTAGTTTAATGGTTGCCACCAATGATGGAAGCTTTTAATTCTCTATTTAATCCACTTGGTTCATATGATGAGCTGCAGCGTGCTAACCACTGTGCTTTGGGACATGCAGACCCTTCAACTGAGGCATTGCTAAGTTAATGTTTAGTGTACTGGAATAAATGATTCGAAGTGGAATAAATGGCCATACCTCAGGCAGTTTGACAGGCAGGTAGAGTATGCTGCCATCAAAAGCCGTAGTTTTGCCGGTAACTGGGTGATGCTCCTTCAACATTCCATAGCGGATATTCCGACATTCTATATTAGGACTGAACCAAACAGCAATGTTAGCCCAAATGAAGTCAACTAAAGAGAGCAATATTCAATGACTCCCAACACCAAGAATTGTCCATCAGAGTCAAACACACTCTAAACAGTGCAAAACTGTTTGAGGACATAACCTTCAAATCTGGATGTCAACTTTCAAGTATGGGTTACAACTGAGGGAGTTATATGATTCATACACGAGGTTTAATGAGGGTGTTTTCATGATCTGCCATAACCTGCATTCTTGCCTTTTGAGTACAGCGCAGGGAGCTGACCACCACACTTGTACAGTGTGCTCTCATGTTTAAGTGCCAAACATTAGATCAGGCAGCAGAATACGGGATGTCCAACATTGCAGAGCAATGTGTAAAGATTTGGACAGGTAACAATAAGTGGGCCACATTTCATGAGGGTTGATTTATTTAAAAAAAGGTCAAAATGCTTTGTACCCAAGCTGAAATTGCAACTTCTGTCCCTCACCCTGCAAACACCTAAGTCTATCATTTACATCTCTCCCCTTGGCGGAGATATTTTCCGCACATTTCACTGCGGAGAGTGCAATGTGTCAGCAACGTAACATGAGGCCTTGCTGCATGGTCAGATTCATTAATAAGAATGCCCAGCGAATGGAACAGCCATTGGTCCAAAAGGCTGCTCAGCTGATTAAAAAAAAGGCGTGTCTGAAAAGTCAGGACCATGTCCAAGGATCAGACTTCAACGCCACAATATGTGATCGCAGCCACTCGCAGCTCCCACAGAATGTACAAAGACTGGAGTCAGCTACCTGAAGGTGACGTGGTACTGATAAACTGCCTCATTTTGACAATGTATTTTGGTAAGGTTTACTGCCAGAGGTATAGATGTTCCTGATGACCCCTTCTTCATGACTGGCTCCCTAAACAAAAACACACATCAGGAGTTAACAAGGCCCAGCAGTACAAAATTCATTGAAACTGCAGTCCATTGATGAACAGCGAAAGGAGTTATCAAAATATTTTTGCAAAGAAAATGCATTTTCAGGGACATATGTGAAATATGTGGCGATATCTGGACTTGGAGCCAGGACTAAGTGTCACTAATAAACAGGAGAACCTATAGCCCCATAGAGCAAGGGGACAATGACAGACTCCACAGTGCAAGATGTAGGGGTGGAAATGACAGACCACACAGGACAATGGCAGATGGCAGATGGCAGATAGGAAGAGGTAAACAACAGACCCCCACATGGAGAGAGGAGACAGGGCAAGGGTTAAACAACAGCACTCTGCCTTAATGCATCCAGAGATTGTTCCTTCAGCTGCCTCACCCTCGACTCCCTTTCTCTAGCGCTCCAGTGACAGCCTCGCTGAGAGTAAATCTCCTGTCTCCGGGTGAAAGAATTGGCGAATGATGGAAAACTCTGCTCCTTCCCAGCAATGCTCGTCCTAACTCCAATCCCTTCACTTCAGCTGCCAGTTCTTCAACGTTGGAGCATGGATGCTCGATAGCTGTCCCTCTACCCCTAAAACTGGGAGAGGAGAAACACTAATCACACATCACGACAAGGAGGTGCTAAGAAAGTACACCAGAGAGGATACTGAAGGCATGTTGCCCAGAACGGAAAGTTTCAGTCTGGAGGAAAAATCAAATTGGCGGAGGCTGTTACCTTTGTGACACAGACTGAGAGGCAACTGAACTGAGCTGACCGATTATGAGTGACTAGGAGAGGGTATGAATTTAAAAGAATAAGCACAATGATTGAGGACATTGAGGAAAACAGATTTTCATTCAGAGGACGATGGGAGTCCAGAACACAAGCCCTGTATGTTTGTCTGAAGTAGAAACCGTCAGTCCATTTTCCAAGTATTACATTTGCATTTTAGGTGCCACAACCATTCAACAGCTTTTTGGATACAACTTCCAGTGCGATGGCACATGATTACTGCCGAGAGGTGGAGTTCATTTCAGCTTCACAAGAGGGCACATACTCCAATCTGTCTGGCCTAAGCAATGAACTCATGGAAGATGTCCTGGCAACTTGAGAAATAACACACCAAAACTGTCACCCAGATGTTTTGAGCAAGAGGCTGCTGGTTAGTGTCCCCAAACACTACACTTCAATGTGGTGGGAAGGCTTGAATGCTGTGAGAAGCTCCATTATGGAGTATAACGCCTGGCAAGAGCCAGGCTCAAGGCAATTCAATGTCCTCTGGGGGAACCACTGGAAGTAAAACTCAAAAATCACACCAGCAAAAATTGGTTTACTTCTAGAGTTGTTCCAGGGTGGTAATGAGTATGCAACAGACTGGGAAAAAAAATACATCAACCAGAGATGAACAAGCACTAATCTCAGGAGGTGGAGCACAGATGTTAGTTCAAGCAGTGGAGCAGTGTCAGCCTTACAGCTGTCCTTACCTGGCTTGCTCAGAACTGTATGGTATTGCTGCCTTTGCGGCAAAGGCATCTCCAACTGCCTGAGCTGCATCATGTTTCAACACTCCAAACAGGTTGCTGCTTATTCCTCTACCTAATAGTCCTCTTCCTATCATGGAAAAAAGAACACAAATTCAGCAATGTCAGCCTTCTAGAAACAGAAGAACAGGAATAGGGCATTCAGCCTCCAAAGCTTATTCCATCATTCAATGAGACCATGGCTGACCTGGGGCTTAACTCTATATTACCTACTTTTGGCCTATATCCCTTAATACCTTTGCTTAAAAATTTATTCATTTCAGATTTAAAATTAACAACAGATGTTATATTCACTGCTTCAGAGATAGCAGGAACTGCAGATGCTGGAGAATCTGAGATAACAAGGTGTACAGCTGGATGAACGCAGCAGGCCAAGCAGCATCAGAGGAGCAGGAAGGCTGACGTTTCGGGCCTAGACCCTTCTTCAGAGAAA